ATCATTGATTGCAGTTGAAAACAAGGCAGCTTCAAAATTGGATTTAAATGAAGGAATAGATCCTTTTGCTAATATTAAAGCTTGTAAAAGATTATAAATTTCATTTGATAGACTTTATTTTATTTGATTAGATAGAATTAATAAATTAATAATGATAAAATATTAATATTTAAAATTTGTTTTAGTAATTAAATGGATTTCCTTTTTATTTTGAGTATCAATTAATTATCTGTTTATTATTTTCATTAATGGTTTTATAGAGGTATTTATATTTTAAACAACAATATAATGTATAATGTGGTTTTTCCTATAGATAGAATTAAGGGGCTTAATTTATTTACTGCCCCAAGGCTCTTTCCCATCCTGTTACACCACTATATAGTTGTTATAGTTAACTGTGTTCGTACCTCGCGTTTAACTGACCACTTGCCACTTATATAACGCATTTTCGCTTCTTTAACTTTAAGTTATTAGTATATTAGTATATTATTACTATAAGCTTATAGTAGTTTAAAATATACCAATTAGAATATACAAAAAGATAATTTAAAATAAAGAAATGTACTTATTGAATAAAAAAATAAATTTCCTATTATTAAGAAACTAATGATAAAATAAATTCACCAAAAAAACTGTTGTCTCGACAATCTTCTAAAAAAATCAAGTCAAAGGTAGTGTTTCCATTTCATGGACATATTGAAAAATGAACGAATTGACTTACCTACGAACACTGTAAAATTGCCAAGGAATTATTTTGACTAGTACAGAAAAGTCCAACATAATATTTTTAATTTATTATGTTCTAATGTCCAACTATTTTATTCATCTTATATTGTACTTAACGTATGAAGTAATTCCTCGCTAAATAAATAAATTATTGAAACTAAGTAAAACTACTTAGCATTTATTTAGGATATCACATCTTTATAGTGCTTAAAAATTTTATTAGATCATAACATTTATAGATAAGTAAACCACTATTAATTTAAATAAAATAAAACAATTTATAGTCTTATTTTTTACAACATATCATTTGAAATTAATTGGGAATTGTAATTTTTTTTTTAAATTTTTTCTAGTATAAAAATTTTAAATGCCGCCATAGCGTGGGCTATGTGGACTACCCCTTGAGTCGGGCCTGACTACAACCATTGATTTTATAATATACATATTTATATATATATATATATATATAAATGGAGCCAAAAATGTATAAAATTTCATCAATTGAGAACGGCTGGACCGATTTAGCTCAAATTTATTTTAATTGTTCGTAATTGCCAGGAGAAGGTTTTTACGAAAAAAAAATTTTGGAAAAGTGATATTGTTTAATAAATCGTAGTTTAATTTAATAATTTTTAATCCGGTTGATAACTGCGCAATTGAAAATGAATTATTAAATGAAACTATTAATTTTATTTTTGGTATTAAATGACGTGTGTTTACATAAATATAAAAAACAAGATTCCACAACAGGTGCCAAAACAAATAAGAATGATTTAAGGATTATTATGCATATCGGTTGATGATTAGACGCGATCAGAACAACGTTATTCTATGATGTCGTGAGCTTTGTCAACAATTCATGGTCGACATATATGTAAAGATAAAGAGGAAACGATTTCAATACTTGCGATTCAATCAAAATCATGTTTTTCACACAAACAATTAAATACGTGGCGTGCTCTCGAACGATCCAGTTTGTTTATGTTGGCGAAAGATGAGATAACAAAAAATATTGTACTCTGTTGCATTAAGGATTTGATATTGTTTTTTACTAATATTGTCATAATTAGTGATATATATAAATTTAAAGGATTAATTTTAATAAATTATCAAAAAATAAATGTTTGATATTTTTTCATTTTTATATTTCGTCACCGATTACAGTATTCCATACCTCTTCCACTTATATACCACATCCTTACACACTTATATTAAATTAGTTATTTTTTTCAAACAAAATATTCTCTAGAAATAATTTATATGACAAAACAACGTGTGTCGGGTCAGCTAGTATATATATATATATATATATATATGTTACCGGCAAAGTGTTGAGCTCGGCATTCTATAGAATTCCAAAAATGAGCAAGAAAAGTATAAAATTTATATAATGTCTAGGTATTCTATAGAATATCAAACCTCAAGCAGACAATGTATCGAGAATCATATACGATATATATCGTATAAGATATTACAGATAAGTTCGTTTTCAGGCCATTTGGTGAAAATAGGTAAAATAATGTTATAATATAACTGATTAAGAGATAAATATGTGATGGATTTAATCAAATCCAAGTTTCAATTCAGTGTTATTTGATTTTTTTGTTATACAAAGATGTCGGAACGGTTTTATACCGAATTAAATAAAACCAAAAAAAGTTCAAAAAATACTGTTTTTCTATCAAATGAGAAATACGATGAAATATTATATGAAGAGTCTCTTCTTAAAAATGGTCAGAAGAAAAAAAAAACGTCATGCGATTATTGGATGCTTCAAAGGTATTTATCTATTTTTACTAAATTATTAGTATATATTACAATTTTATTGACAATTTGTAAATTTTCTTACTTTCTTTATTATTGGTTTTTATTAGATACGATATTTTATTTTTACATAACATTAGGAAATTAATTTTTCCTATAAATGGAGAAGGCAAAGTATTATTTTACGTTAATGATGGCGAACTATATGCAATTTTAAAAGCTACACATGATTATATTGGTCATGGTGGCCGTGACAGAATGATTTCTAAACTTTCATTAAAATATAAAAATATAATTCGGAGTGATGTAGTTCTCTTACAACTATGCGAACTGTATGCTGCAATAAATAAACTAAAATTATAAACATTTTTTGATTAAATACTATTTTAAATTCTTACTTTACCTAACAGCATTGACATTATATAAAAATGCTAGGCATTATTTAAAATAACATTATAATTTATTACATTGCCAAATGATACAAAGGATTCTATAGAATGCTTATACTCAACACATTACCGGTAACATATATATTATAAAATCAATGCTATAACACATATGCTACGTTCCTAAATTGAAAAAATGTAATCCAATGATATAATTAATAGTTTCTGAATATTATATTGAAAAAAACGCAAGTACTTTTTTCAATGCAATATGTGTATATCTACTTTTTTTTAAATTATATTTTTTTTATAGTTCTTGACGAATATCGCACCTCATTCACTATAAAATAATCTTGTGTAAAGGAATAGTAATGTTATTATTTTTATTTATTGTTATAAAATATCATAGTTTATCGATTTGACAAAGGTCTCAACAATATAATTAGAAGGTATAGTAGTAGGAACAAATGACGTTCGACACTTGACATAATAAATTATACCTACGCCGTGTAATTCAAATTTGCTCCAGGCGATATACATGGGCACCTTAATACCCAAATCGTTTACAATTACAGTTAAAGGTACTTTACTTGTAGTCCGTACAGTTATACACGTACAGTTTAATTTACCAAACGATTAACGCCATATTTATTTTAACCACAATAAGGAGCAATCAAATAAGTTTATTTCAATAAATTATACGTTGGTCAACCATGACGAATTGGCCGACTTTCATTTTTTGTCTGAATCGCGATGTTAAATGTTCGAAAATCGAGCAATATGCACACGCACGTGCAGGAGAGACATATAATAAGTAAAATTAATATATAATACATCACGGTAAAACGATAAACCTACTATGCGTTGCGTGATATGATAAATGCAAAAACGAAACTTGAATGTAATAAACCCCCAAACAGGATACTAGCATGTGTATTATATTTATACACACTATCCCACACACATTAGATCTGTATACGTTGGTAATTATACTAATTCTCGTAAATGTTACGTCCTTGAACAATGGTCATGTGGTAATATAGGGCATATTCTTATACGAACATACCACCGTAGATAAGTAATTAACATTTAAAAACTACTGCGCCTTCCAACGAACAACTGAAATATATTTTTTTTTCCACAAACAGAAATTATTATCGAATTATATTGTCTTAAGCTGTTTAGTGTCTTTATAATTATTACATTTATTTTCACGGAAATTAGTGACCAATAGCATTACGTGCTGTAAATTATTAATATGAAAGTATTATTCTGGATACTTATTAGTGCGCAACATCAAACATAATTGAAAAAGTTACCGTATATTTGGATGGTAATTAATTATTATATATATTATATTTGAGTAATTGGGTGTAAGTTGATGGCTAACACTGTGATAATATGGTGTAATTACATTAGGAATAGACTATAAATGAAAATATTCCTATAAAAGTTAATATACAAATATTTTTTTTAAATACTAAATTTTAATGAATTTATAATGTTTATTTTTTGGCGAACAATAAACAGTAAATAAAAATATTACCAAAGTTAAATTATATGTTCAATTTTTTTATTAAAAAAATAAAAATAAGCTCACTACTAACATTTGTTTTTATGTCAAAACATTTTTCACCAAACTTATTACATTATTGCTATAAAAAAATAATATAAAATCATTTTTTATAATTTCTATAATTTTTATACATGACTTTAAATTAAACTTAGCAGTTTAATAATAATAGTTCATAATATTATTTTAAATGATTGAATTTTAAACTTTTGGTTAGTAAATGAGCCAAATTTATTGTTTTTTCTGTATATTTATAAATCTGTGAAACAGTTAAATAATCAAAATTTTAAATAAATTCCCAGTTCTATCACAGAAAACATTCTGGGATGTTTAAAATGTATAAATAGTGTTTTTTTTTCGGTCATTATTAACTATAAACTCAGTCAAAACTGGATGTTGATTAGTGAAGTGTTAGATTTGAGAAAAAAATTATATATCAATTATTTACAAGATATTCATGGCAAAAACAATGTTGTTTTTCTACAGAAACATAATAAGCCTGAATTAATAAATAAAAATAAAGGACTTATTAAAAATAAAAAAAAAAAAACTTTTCAACAAAATTAAGAAATACATTTTTTGATCTAAAATCAAACTGTCACAATCAGTTACTGACACAGTTTTCATGTGTTTCATTCAATGTTTTGCATGAGTTAGACCACAATGGCATTGGGGAACGATCTTGATCTGTATGAAAAGCTGTAGCCAGTGGGAATCGTTTAAAACAAGTTTTGCGGTATTCTTCGATTACATGGCCAACTTCACCAATTTCACCATTAATTAATGAATTTAAAATTTCAGTACACGTCTGTAACATAAAATTTACTAGTAAATAGGAAATAAAATCAAAGAGATTATTTTCTTAAATTTTACCTGAATATTAACATCTTCAAGAGAATCATCTAGTTTTGTAATTTGGTCAAGAACTTCTTGTTGTGAACTATTATCAAGTTTATACTTCATTTTCAAACCTTTAATTTAAAGTTGATGTGTTTTGATTATATGTACGATATATATATAATTTGAAATACAAATAAAATTATTTACCTTGGAATAAAGCTGGTAATGATTTGTGGTGTTTGGCAAGGAACTGAGAATTAATTTCAGCAGCTGATCTTCCACCCAATATTGGTTCTAATTGTTTATTAAGTACCAGCTGCATTTCCTCTTGGATATTTTTAAATTTTAATAGCTTTTCCATGAATCTAATCAGACAATTGTGAAACATAGGATGATCTGGATTTATACGATGACTTCTTATGATACTTTGCAACATCAACAAAAGCTTATCTAAAAATAAAAATATGTTTTAAATGTAGGCACTAGATTTTAAATAGATGTTATTAATTAATAAAATACCTTTTCTGTAATAAATTTCGAATGCCATTAAATGAGTTTCTATATTATCTGATGCAAGTTCCTGGAGTGGTTTTAAGAACTTGATTGACTGTTCCAAAGGATCTTCGACCTATCATTATATTTGTACTTATTAATAAATTTATACTTTATACAAAAATAAATAATTAAAATTATAAGCATCAGTAGCGTATATAGGGGGACGAGCTTAGTGGGCTATAGCCCCCCGGAATATTTAAAAAAACTTAAAATTTATGTTAAACGTTTGTTATATTTTAATGGTGCTTTATGCTTATTTATAATTTGCGTCCAACGGCAAATATAACTATGTTCACGTAGTCTGTAACATTATTTTTATTTTTATGATATTCTTTTTTTTATTTTGACTACCCAGTGAATAAATGACAAAAGCCATTGAGTAATATGAAATACCAAGTAATAAGTAATAGCATTGATTATTGATTATTTATTATTATTTTATTATATTTGATTATAATAAATATTTATAATCAATGGTAGTAGCCTTGGATACTATTCAAGTTTAAAAGGTTTTATCACAGAATATATGAAACATGTATTATATGTATTTCAAATATACTGTGATTTTATTGTATTGTTAGATGCTATTTTTAGAATAGTCAGTTTAAAACTACCCATGTAAATTTGGAAAAAATAAGCATTTTCTGCAGGTGTTTGGTGGGGATAAGGAAGTAAGATTTAGTTAGGTTTATGAGTTAAATATTTAAATTACAAATTAAACTTCTATTTCATATTGTGATATCACAAAAAAAGTATTATACAATCGACTATCAAGAAATCGTAGTAGCAAGGTTATTGATGTTTTGAAGTTGAACGGAACGTTACAAAACGTTCCATATCGTTATGTTATTATTTTTATCAATTATAATACGAATAATATTCATATTTCATATTAATCGGCCCTTTCGTGAGTTCAGGATAAATCATTTTTTTTCCTACGTATAATTTGTACAAATCTCAGAAAAATTTCGAGGGGAGGGGAGTACAACACCCAAACCCTATCACTAGTTGCGTCACTGAGCATAGATAATATCCAACACTTACTCTTTCCAACTTTTCTGGGAGAAGTTCATCCAATGGCAACGCATCAGCCTCGTCACTAGTATTTGTTACTTGCTGTCGATTTTTATGCATATCTCGTTTTTCTTGAGCAGCCAATGCTTGAGCTTTTTCTTCTTGGGCTTTTCGTTGTGCTTTTCTTTGTTTATTCAACAATTTTTTTAACTGTCCAGGAGCCATGTTTCCTAAAATATTTGTGTTAAAAATTACATCAATTACAAAAAGTTAAATAAATTAAGAAAAACGATTGTGAGTTGAGAGATGTGTAAAATGTATAATGCTATTATTAACTAAAATTATTTAGGGAGATTCCGTGGCCTGAAAAATCTCTAACTAATTTTTCCCTAGCCACACCTATATAGTGTATAATATGACAACAAAATATAAGTACGATTCTAAGGTCGACAGTGGAATGCAATAGGTGAACCGAAACAATAGGCAGTCAAACAAGCAGTCAACCATCTAATCAAAAGTGTTACTATTGTCAAAATATAACAAATTATGTAACATCACTGATATAACATATATTATAATGTATAATATAATTTTTAATAGATACATCTTTATTCATTTTAAATGTTCATCGAATAGGAAAAGAAAATAAACTTTAAAGAAATTGTATGTTTATGTAAATATGAATAAAATATTACAATTATAAACAGATGTATGTAGTTTATAATGAATATATATATATATAATGTATTCATCTCTATGAATATAAAATACATTTGTACTTCGAAAACTAAGGAAAGTTATTGTTGACTGTAATGTTTACGTGTGTGTAAATACAAGTAAAATGCCTACTACAGTGTTTTATTATGAATATAGTTCCTATATAAGTATATTATACCCCATGACTAGATTGATTGATAAGTCAATATTGAAACAGGAAAACAACTGGTCCGAGAATGTTGAAATTGAACCACAGGAGAGACCTTGTATTACATGAGCAAACAGAAATATTATTATTATTGTTGCATAACTCAACCCAAAGTTAATAGAAGTGTAGATTGAAAAATATGATCTACATTTTTTGTTTCAATGCATGATTAAGTAGGTAGGTATCTAGTCAATTCTTTAAAATTTTCAAATGTACCAGCGTACAATATACAGTACGTAAAATATATTTTGTTCCACACTTTCGAATTAAATATGTCTTACTGTTATTTATAAGCTACAGTAAATTTGAGACCAAGGATAACAATGGTAGTTTATATTTGTAGTATAATTTCAAGCAAATACTTTATAAAATTATAAAAGTATAAAGAAATAATATAAATTGTTTAATTAATTATAATATATTTATTTAATATCACTTCCTCTTTTATATACTTAAAATATTTAAACAATCTATTATTTTTAACTAGCATAACATGCATGTATAAACTATTCTTGTTTATTCATTATAAATATTAAAGTTTAACATCTTGTAACTAACGCATATTGTTTAAACTAGCCATTTATATACATTTTTCAGGAAATATTTTTGATAAAATTATAAATTTTTAATTGAAACATTTGACTGTGTATATAATACTTATTTCAAATGTATAATTTATTAATTACCTTAGGGATTATAAAATCTTCAAGAAAAACAAAAATCATTAAATAATTATACAAGTATTTTTAAAAAAATAAACATAGATTTATTAAAATTAATTTAAACCTGATATCGGACAATTCAATAAATAAACATTTTTTAATTTATTTTTAAATCATAAAGAGGTAATACTGTATTTTTTTAGAATTATTTTATACAGAAAAAAATAAATAAACTTTTCAGTTTCACTACATCATCGTATTTTTTTAAGTAATTAATCTAGTCATGATTTTCTGTCTGTTTTAGTATCATCATCAATTTGTTAATAAATAAAATTGGATTTTCCAAATAGATTGTATAATTTTACATTATACAACTTTTTACAATTTTAAAATCCCAACTAAAAGGAACTGAAAATATTTGAAATAATTGACTAACTCAATTTCAATAGTAATTGAGGGATTAATGAATTTAAATAGATTTCCAAAATCCTTAATGAATAATTAGATGTATTGGTAAATATAGCTAAATAAAGATTAGACGTAAATTACAATTTTGTACACTTAATAAATTAAATTGATAAATAATATTGATAGTGACTGAAAATCACGGTATCTTCTTATGTATAAAATCCAGCATACAAAAAGTACAATTGTGGAAGAAAATATTGTTATTATTAACATCAATTAATTTATAGTTTCTATACCAGCCCTTGAAGTTTCATCGGAGGTCATTTTCTCTTTTGTCCCTCATTTTTAAATACGACCCTGAGTTATAAAATATAACTAAAATCAACAAATAATAAAAGCTAAATTTGGTTAAATTATAAATAATTTTATACTTGAGTGTTTAATAGTTTTTATTTTTTATAACAATTCACGGCAAAATAATAATTAATAATAATTCAACAAATAATAATTTCAAATATAATTTTTTCACAGCTCTAACCGTAGTTAATGTTTATTTATAACGATGTAATTAATTTAATTGTCAATGTCATGGAAATAAATGTTTGTGGGATTAAAAATTTTGATTTATGAATTAAACGTCTAAATTTTTGGCTGAATGCGTTACATTTAACGCGTAAATATAACATTTGACTGACCTCATCAGATAAATAAATCGAAATATCAGATTGGTATATACAAAATATAATAACGAAACCGAGAGTGACAATAACTGGTTTCCCATGTATTAGTACAATTTTACACTGGCCGCGACGGCACGCAGTTTTCTTAGGAGTCCATTGTTTTGATTTGTAAACCGTGTATTATTATCATGCGGAGCGGTCATTGTTCCACTGCTGTCTTCGACGACAGGTTTATAACGGATCTAAAATGTGTTGTCATTAAAAAAAAAAGACGAGAGAAATGATAGAAAAGCGAATTCTTATGAGAACTGGGTCTTGGCCGCGAGCCGTCAAAATACGCATATTATTATTGCTTAAACGATTTCGGCCGTTTCCCAAATAATTGTAACAAAACGGACATGTTCCAAGAGTCCAAGTCTAAAATATAATAGTTATATCCGTTGTGTATGTTAATGGATCAATCTTTTTTCGGGTCATGACGACCTGTAATCGAATTTAATAGAGGAATATCAACGAAACCCATAGCACCGCAAATATGCTAGGTGTTCAAATAATATGTGTATGAAATTAAATGTATAAATATAAAATGAAAACTGGTTTTATTTATAATGATATTTGATAACTCTAGGAGGTGGTGACGACGGTTTCCTTGACCATAACTTAATGTATTTTTCGTGACCAAGACGGCAAGACATTTTGTTTCTAAATCTACGTGTTGATGTATTTATAATATTATTATTATTAATAGGATTGACGACAAAACACACATCAATGACAACATTGAAATTATGAAATTGGACAATAAGTAAACAAGTATAAAATAAGATGTCAGCAGCACGACGGTGGCCTGCATTGAAAGTTAAAACTATTTTATTCAAATTAGAAAATGTTGCGCAGGAGGATCATTAACTCGGGTCTCTAGTAATTACAATGGGGGATTTCTCAAGATTTCGCGGTCAAAACGCTGGGAATGTTTTAAGTGAAACTGACGCCTTCGTAATGGTTTAAAATGAGACAACAAACTTTAAAATGAATAGCACATTACAGGTATTTTAAAATAGCCTAAATAAACGTTTAGTTCGAAGAAAATAGCTTAATTTTATGATATGAATATATTATACCAATACATATTTTTGACTATTTTCATTTATGTCGTTAAACTATTATTATTGTATTTTATTAACTTTTAATTATAAATATACCAAATATTAAATATAATCTAACATAGTTACATAAGCATAGAATAGTTGATTTGTAAGTAATAAGACTTATTATCTTATACTTAGTATCACTAATAATAAATTGTTAATAACTTCATTGAATCTTATCCCAGTTATATGGTATTATTTTATAGCATATATATAAGCTATAATCTATATATCTTAAATATACAAGAACCATAGTTGATACATCAAAATTACTTAAAAAATAGGCCTATCTGAATAGAAATGTTCGAAATAGGAGTTGCTATTTAAAAACCATGCTTTATACTGTGTATGAAGTTACGAATTTATAAAAATTTTGAAATGTGAATTTATGTACCACTAGTTTATAAAAAAAAATTCTATTTATTCCAATATAATCTGGCTGAAAAATTCAGTGTTCACTAAATTGGCGAACACACTGTATATATCGACATAAATAATTAATAAAATTAAGAACAATTGTTAAAAATTAAGAATGATTTATACAAACAAATATAGCTCTAAACTTTGTTTGAATATTTTACTACGGATGGCTTATTGGGTTATAGTGATTTTTCGAATATATTATTATTTCCATAAATATATACCATAACATATTATTAAAATAATATTTTAATACTTGCATTGTATGAAATTTAAATAAAATATTTTATTTGTTTATTTCATTGAATCGTCTTATTTGTTTTATTTATAATTTAGAATAAATTATATTTCGTTCATATTAAAATATCGAAATACTACTAGATGCTTTAATTTTTCAATTTAGAGTTTTTGGATTTTATCAAATTAATTATATGTTAAACTAGTCTAGAAATTGTATTTTTGTGTCTAATTTTAGTAAATGTAAATAATATATATTATACAGTATATTAAAGGTACACAAAATTACAAAAAAAAAAAAAAAAAAAAAAAAGAACACTGAAATATTAAATTAAAATTAGATTTGATGAATACATATTTTTAATTTACATGCATTGAACAAATTGAAATTATTTTAATATAAGGATTATCAGGTACCAATATTAAAAGTTAGAACATTAAGGAAGTCTATTAAAATCAAATAAACACATACGAGAAAAGTTAAAATTTTGATCAATACATAATTATTAGTGAGTAATTAATAGTGAATAAAAACTTCATCAAATAGTATATTACTATGACAAATTATTAAATAAATAAAAAGCTATTCTTAAAATGGTAAATTAAAATAATAAATTTTGCTGATTGAATACTACTTCAAAAAATTGATAGATTTTCTTATTAATAATTGTATGTAATTTTATCAATGTAATAAAAACCTAAAAGGTATTAATTATTTTCGGATACAAATATGATGGAATAAAAACTACATTAATAGTTAATAACATGTTGTTGAGATCAGCCGTCATCTTCATATCAATACCAATAATCTTAGTAGAACTAAAATTTTTCAAGTTGAGTAAAAATATATATTTCGAGTACTCCATTTTAAAATTATAATTCTTATCGATCTTGAGTTTAATAACATTGAAGCCCGTAATGATTCATTATAATACACTTTGGAAATAGCCAATTACACATAGAAAATAAAGTTGACCATTGTAATGTGATATGTATTCAGATAAAAAAGGAGGCTGGTCGCGTGTTTCGCTGGAGGCCCATTGCACGATTCTGGTAGTTGCTCTAGTTTAAAGTTACCGCGCCCTCTTGTAAAACTTTCACCACACCTGTTTTGTGGTTTTTTGCCCGTTATATGTCTGTTGTAATGTTTAAAAAATAAATTCTAATGTTACATGTTAATGCACTTAACAGGATATCCACAGATGTTTGATCTTGGCGCAGAAAGGGGCCGATGTATATTTTAATGTATTTTTTTATCAAAAATGTTAATTAATAATTGTATACGTTTTATGAAATTTTGTATTCTTTCTTTGATATTTTAACGTTAATTTAATTTTAAATAGTATTTATTGAAAAATATAATCATACTATTTAACATAGATTATAATTACTTTATGTAAATATATCGGATATATAAAAAAAAAATTATTTATAATGTAGGTAAGATTAAGAATAGTAATATTTTTATTAAGATGCCACCTAATTTAAACAACTGATATTTTACAGTGATAAATCATAAAATTTATATTACTAATAATAAATTAATTATAGGACAACATAAAGTAAGTTTAAACGATTAAATTACTTTTAAATATACATTATTATCGGGAAGTAGGAGGTCCGTCCGTAACACGGAATATTGTTAACAAGGAAGTCCAAATACAAATTAAGTTTAATCTTTTACTGTATAATTCATTAATTAAATGCACAAGTGATAAGAAATGCTTGAAAGTGAATCGATTTAAACCGGAATGAAAAGATTTATCCAAAAAAAGATTGGTAGCAAAAGATCAATCTTTTAAAAGATCGATTCACTTTGTATGCTGTTTTTTTTTAATCAATATAAGACACTCTTTGTATATTTGCTCGCGATCAAGATAAAAAGTAGATGAAAATATGAAATGCGTTGTAACTTTTAGTAATTCTTGAAAGTGATCGATTCACAAAAAAAATTGTATTAACAATTCGAATTATCATCATTAAAAATAATTAATGAGGGTAAAAATTATATTATTTACTTGTTTTATTATACACATTAATTATGTTCTACAAAAGGTAAATTATTTAAAAAATTGAAAATGTAAAAACTTTACATAAATCAAAGCCGAATTGTTTATACTGTGCAATATTATAATATAATAATACTAATATTTATAAATAATATAATACTAATTAAATCTTACAGTATGTAATATATTATATATTTATGATTTTAAAGATACGTTATGTAAATAATTAAAAACGTTTGTGTTTAATTTTAGTAGAAAATAATATCATTAATTTTAATATATATTATAAATGTACAATTTATAATTTAAAGTTAAATATTTATAAATATTTAACATCCAAAACAATTAACTATAATTATAATCTCCCTAATCAAACTCTTAACTTTCCCTCAACCAGAGGGTACTTCTCCTACCGATAAAGCAAAACAGCATGAATGAATCATGGTATTAGTATTCTGCGTGCACTCCATGTGTTCAGTTTATATAGTGAAGTCGTGCTACATCGCGTAAATGTAGCATGACGAATTATGATTAATGTTTTTAAAAATCTGTTTGTTTTACATTCTAAGTTTAAAAGTTTTTAATTTTTGTGTAATGGGCACTTCAATTACTGACTGCTTGGAATATACATCAAAACAATTAAAAGGTTTGTAAAATGCACGAGATTTAAATAAAAAATAAGAATTAATACATTTAAATATGTATATTAAATAGTTTTTAAATATATATTTTATGATTACTGTGTTTTTTAATAACACCAATATATATCTATTAAGTATTTCTATAAAAAAATTATATATAAATAAATTTGTATTACTTTACATTTTAATATATGACAACTTAGTTTTGATGTTATTCACTACGTTATACTCGTAGATATCTGCACTTGAATAGTGAAGTAAATTTATACTTTAAATAAAATAATAAATGTATTTAAATAGCTCATTAAAAATTATACAATTGCAATTAGTCGAAAACCCCGAATTTTAAATTAAATAAATTATTTTTGAATAAATATTTATTATACGATATCTGATTTAAAATAATATATATATTAAAAGGTTTTGAGGTTCTTTGAATATCATACCCAATATGCTTTTACCGCGGTAATCAATATTAATTTTATTTTAAAGATAATAAAATAAAATGTATAATTAGTGTGGGCGATTGTCTTAAAATATATAATTGACTAAATCATTATTTTATAATAATTTTACGAAGAGGAGTTATATTAAAAGGATAATGCCCACAACATAAATACATTAAAGATTTGTTTTAGTGAGTTGGACAGAGGTGTATAGAAGGCGTAACATTATTTTACAAGGACAAAAACTAAGTTGTTTAGCAAGTATATCATAAAAATAATCAATTAATAATTATTATCTGTACAAAAAAAATACAAATTGTTGTTTTAAACTATGTTGTATTATGTTATAACCATTTTCGATTTATAAAGATGATTATTATTATTATTATTATTATTATTTATTTACTTATTCAGGTTAATTAGGATTAAAAATGTAATAACATTTAGAAGATCATTTAATTAAAGTACAATATAAGTAAAATCATTAGATACATATAGAATATAGATCCAATACACAGTTTTTAAAATAATCAAAAATATATTTTATGTAAAGGTCATATAAGTCTTATAAGTTATCATTCGAAATAGCGTTTTGGTATACTATTACATTATGTCACTGATTGTGTTAATTTTAGAAGTAAAATGGATTATAATGTAAACTATTTACTTTATATATATATATACTCTATATAATTATTGGTTAATATAAGTTAATAAGTACCAAAATACATAGAAATATGCGCCTCAACAAAATAAATACAAATTGACCAATAATATTATACAATATTAATTTTAAGTCAGTATTAACTAACAAAATAACGTTTATAAATAACTTTCATTTATTATTAATAATAATAATAATATTTGATTTTAAAAATTTTAGTCAATATATAAGCACAGATGAGATAACGGATATTTCTACTAAATATAATCTCTATATTCTATTAATATCTAAAGTTATATTTTAGTAAAATATTAATGAATGCCTATTCAGGAAGTCTAAATCAGTAAAATAGTGAATAATATATTTAGATTTCTAACACAGATCGCTCCAATAATAAATGAAATATTACACAAGACGAATAGAAAAAATGAACAAAACATAATTTAATACCGTTATGTCAAATGTAATATAAGTATAATGACAAAAGATACAATTACACAAATGATTGTATTTGGACATACGAGGACGTATGAATTGGATATTATTATAGAAACGAAAATGGTATTTTTCACATTATATAATCATTCCATTTGCAATGAGTACATACACAGATATTTTTATTAACGAATTACGCCCTTTACATGATTTTAATCGAAACACAAAAACGTACTTTTATAAATTAATAATCTTTATTAGTACGATATTATTTAAATTATAAAATAAATTATTGATTCTTCAATAAACTGGTTTATTTGTTCTGGATTCTTAAATGTTGAACGATATTTTCAAACAGAAACAAGAATATCAATAATCAATATAAGAATAAAAATAATATATTTTTTTTTAATTAGGAACATGACTTTTTGTTTTTATTTTTTTCGTCATTGTATACAATATTATCAAGAAGTAATATGATATAAAATTAATGTTTAAAAATGCATTTAACCCCGGGTGAAAAGTTGGTTACTGGATTTTGTCCGCGTAATTACGTGGATATTACTGTAGGTCAAATAGCACTAAAGTCGTGTCTTGTACCAGAGCAAGGTTAACCAGTTATAAACTCTTTTGTCTACAAAATTCCAGTATATTTTTAAATTCTCTTGAAGTAGCTTATGCTTATGGGCGTAACAATGAATATAAAAGTAGTCTATTTTGAAATATTATGAAAACATTAAAAAAAATATAAAAATATATAAATACATCCTTAAAATTGTTTATTCAATAGTTTATTGATTAAAAGTTATACTTAATAATCGGGATTTGAATTGTGTGTAGGATAGTGTAGTGATTTCTTGACTATCTCAATAGTGAAGAAAAAAATCTATTTTTTTTTTAAATCTATAAATTAAAGTCAAATAAAATACTTAAATTTTTATGAAAACTAATAGTTGCTATAAAAATGGTATTATAAGAATACGTCATATTTTAATTTTATTATCAAAGAAAATGCGATGTAATAATGATATGCGTTTTTAATATTATTCTTGTTACATAATTGCGAAGTTAAACAATTAATTGAAAAAAACTCATAAGCCCGTGATTCCTGTTTTATACAAATAATGAAAAAAGAAAAATTACTTAAATAACCTAATTTTTATATATAACATTTTCTTTGCAGATGTATTTGCTGCCATATGTAATATTAAAAATAATATTATTAACAAATACTGTTGCGGAACCAGTGTTGGAAATTTTATTGCCAGTAGAGAATGGCCAATCTTTAACTAATGCGGATCAATCAAATTCAGCCAACGATGATGAAAAAACTTTGGCTCAACAAATTTTTGAAGGCAAGTATGGTCTAATACATAAAGAACTGTTCAATGATATACCATCAAGGCCAGGCATTTTAAGTTACAACATAAATCCCGAAGTTCCAAAAGACAACATTAATAATTTAGGAGGTTTAGATTCTAATGAAATATGGCTGGCAGAAAATCATTTGCTTGTATTAAAAGGAGGAAACTTTAGTGATAAAAAAGTTAAATGGACATATATAGATAACTATATTGCTCCAATAAGGCAGGTAAAAATACCAGAAAACCCTAAAATACCTCCACCGTTTCCAATACAGCTAGAAGACAATGGACCTATTGATTTTGTTACAGTCAATGGTTCAATTTGGAATCCAATATTTTCTCCTCAATTTCCTCCAATTCAAGGTTTACCTTTAAATACAACGCTTGATGAAGATGATCAGTCACTATTTTATCCTCCAAAATATGATTTTGTATACGCTCAAGAAAATTCTACAAGAGTTCCACCGGGTCCTTTAGTACCTGGAATAGTATTACCACCCCCACCAAATTTTTTTGGTCCTCTAGAAAAGCCAGAAAAGGCTAAAAAAATTAATTTAAATACCAATAAAACAATTCCAAGATTTAATCAAAAACCATATTTTAAAATTCCTAAGGGAAATCATAATTCAAAAGAAAATGGATGGGTTCCAATACCGTCAATTAAACCAAATTATATAGAAGATTTAAAAATAAAAAATAATGTTATCATTACTACAACTGAAAATAATAATTACAACTCAAATTTTAATGAACAAAACAGTTTCCCCAATCATCAATTTTTGTTTGAGAAAACAGTTAAACATACAACCATTCGCCCAGAAACATATTATTATTACGACGAAAATAGTAAATATGACGTAGAAAAACCTGTACAACAAAATAAATATGTGAATTCTGGTAATCTTGGTATAAGAAATCAACAATATAATATACAAAATAACTTTGAAAAGTCAACTACAGGCAAACCATATTATGAGTATAGTTACATAGCACCTGGGTATGCTATTAAATCTCAAATTCAAACCCCGATAAATAAACAAAAACCAATGACAGAACATCAAAAAGAAAATCCTGTATATCAAGAATGGTCAGAAAAACCTAAATCATCCCAATACAGCAATCAATTGGAAAAGCAAAAACATCAGTCCTGGTCACAGCAAAATAATCAATATACAGAAATTGATTATGGATATCATACTGAAAAACCTAACTTTGCCACAGATAATCCATATCATGCATTTTTCACACAAGACGATGCTAGTTTAGTAGATGAAAATACGAAAAAATACTTCGCATTATTTGGACAGAAGGTTAGAACTGAAAAACCAATCCAAGTAACACCGCAATCTAAACATCAGAGCAGTAAACATGATAATAAAATATCTTTAATTGATAACATATTAATCAACTTTAAACAACCATTGCCGATTAACAATCCGGAATCAGAAATAACTACATCGAAATCTCGGTACAATTATCCTCAATTATCTTTACATGACGATACTAATGTTAACTTTAAGCAACCGAATCCTCAAATAAATTCAGACGCTGAGATGATAACTCAAAATACCAATATTTTAAAAGAAAATCACCCATATTCATACGATAATACAGCAATCAACTATCAACATATACCATTAAAAAATGTTAATATTGACGAAACAATTAAAAAACCCTACACACAAGATTCATTTAAAGATAATAACCCAATGAATTATAAACAACCATTACAATTGAAAATCCCAAATACAGAATCAATTACAAAAAGACCAAATTTAAATATACCACAGTTATCATTCTTTGATGATACTAAAGTGAATTATAAACAACCATTACCACCAATAAATTTAAATTCGGAAATTATTACTAAAAGACCATTATACAGACCAATACACTCATTATTTGATAACACAAATATAAATTACAAACAACCAATGGAATCTGAAAATTTAAATGCAGAACGGATTACTCAAAGACCACACATACATGTAACACAATCAGATTTCAATTTAGATACTTCATTAGGAACAAATGATCCAAATTTAGAACATGCTACTCAAAAGTCATACATGCAAATACCTGAAGCACCATACTATAGTGTTACTACAATTACTAATAAACAACCATATTCATCAATAAATCAAAATGCAGAATTAGTTACTCAAAGACCATACATTCATGTGCCAGAAACTTCATTAGTGGATGGAATATCAATAAATTATAAGCTACAGGGATATTCAAATAGTGAAACTGTTACTCAAAGACCTTATATTAAAGTACCACAAACTTCATACTTGGAAAATACACAAGTTAATTATCAACAACCAATATTACAGCAAAATCCAAGTAATGAAGCAGCAGGAAAAAGACCACAAATCAAATTCCCTCAAACATCACTTACTGATAACAATCAATTCAATTTTAAAAGACCACTACCATTACAAAACCATGACACAGAATACTTTACCCAAAGACCTCAAACCATTTATTCACACACACCAGTTTATTCAAATGATGATATTCAAATAAATTACAAACAACCGCTTCAAACAAAAAATATTGAAACAGAATACAAAATATCAACGCAAAGACCATTAAATCGAGTAGTTTCTTATAATTTACCAGGAAATAGCGGGAGTCATTTTTTCTTTTTGACAACTCATACTGGACATCCAATACAATATAATTTGAGTAATAATAACTATCAATATTATAAAAGAAATGTCAAATAATAAATGTAATACTAACTGTAAATAATTAATTATTATAACTTTTTTTTTTTTCAAATCTATAGGATGAGAATATATTACAATTTGATAATTTGTAACATGGATAAACTTAATACAATCAAAAATTTGATATTGTTAAAGAAAAGACTGTGTTAAGTAATACAAAATTATTATTATGTAAGATATCATAATATTATTAGTGTTTAATTAATTTGACATATCATAAAGCTATTTTCATTTCTTATTTTTGATTGATGGCATTATTCTTTAAAAAATAATTTTATCAGTAATCAAGTGAAAGTAAATTATTGAATTACTTCTTAGCATGTACAAATTGAAATAAATTTAAGACATAGGTATGTGAAGTAATTTAAAATTGTGTCATAATTTTAAATAATAAGAAATAATTTGTTATTTATTTTCGCTTAACAATAATTCTAAGATTAAATTTAAATTGTTCTATGTACCATGTAATATTTTTAATTTGTTTCATTCATGAAAATTAAACAAATATTTATCATTTTTTTTTTTATTATTATTTATACTAGTAAAAATGTATAATTTACTTTACAAATAAGTACTATTATATTTGTTAACTTATTCATATAGTTTTATATATTAATAAAATTAGAGTGAATATTTTGATGATCTTGAATAATATTTAATATATAACCATGAACTAAAAAGAGTTAGTATCAATACAATAATAAAATAAATATTGAAACATAATAACAATTTAATGAAGTTAAATTATAAATCCCTAATTTGATATATAAACATCATGGAATACATAAATTCAAAACTTAAATATTAAATACTTTTAATTTAAATATTATTTAATACTATATTAAATTTGTACAAATATTGTACATATCTTATATTAAATAAATATTTATACTATATAATACAATTTTTACTTTGCCGCCAAAGCAAATCTAATTTTAAATAATAAAAAAAGCACACAAATACAAGATAACTATCATCAAAATTCTTGAATTGGTTAGGCTAGGTCTTGAAATTTGTTAATTGTTGTCTTGAATATGTGTGCTTATAAGACCATTTTTTATCACAGTCTTAAATTAGATTATTTAGAAAAATTGAATTGTATTTTATACCAGTTTTAACTGTTTTTATTTACAACAATATAATATTCAGAGCCAATCTAGATTACTTAGTTCAGTTAAACAGGCTAGTTGATAATTAAATAATACTTAATTTCATACCATAATTGAAATTTTCTAAAATAATAATTCTTAATATCTACAAAGTTATAAAAGAATTTATGTTTTTTTAACCAAATACTTGAATGAATTATAGTGTGATTATGGACTAATTGTTGACAAAATATCAAAAAATTAGCCATGTAAATACATTTATAAAATTATTTTATTATTTTTTCATTATTTATTCAAAATGATAAAAAAAACTTTTGATCCTGTTAAATATGATGGAGAATATAAATTATTTATAACTCCATACAAAGTACACTTATTAATAGGCAAAAGTTGAAAATAAAGAAATATTTCAAAATATTTCTTACTCTGTAATATATTTTTCTCATTTATTAAGCAAAAATAATACAAATATTTGTATTTGTTATGGATCACTTACCTTAAATTAGAGTTTAATACCAATTATGTAATCATTACATTTTATTAGTTTTACTATAAACAATCAAACTAAAAATTCTAAGTTAATTTTAAGTAAGTAAAAGAATAGCACCAAAATAAACTCAATTTAAAAATTAAGTTACTTAGCTTTCTATATACAAATATCAGGCCCTTATTTAGGGGGGCACGGGTGGGCACATGCCCGGGGGCATGAGGTCTTAGGAGTGGCAGAATATTTTAGCAAAATTAATTTTTAAAAAGATGTATCTAAGGAAAAAAAAATAAAATAGTATGTTTTATAATGTTATAATTTGATTAATTTGTAAATTAAAAAAAGTATTAAACAATTTTCATTTATAAGCTATATTTTAATATTAAAACATCTCAATTATGGACGAAATAATAAGTGTTATATTATTATTTATTTAAGGAGGGGGCATAAATTATAAGTCTGGGGAACCAAATTTTTAAAACGGGCCTGATAAATGTTTAAATTTTTTTTTTTTTTTAATTGTTTATGGAACTATCTTGATTGTTAAAAATATGTTTGGAAATTGGAATTATACAGGCTTGTTCTAAGTTGTTTTTATAAATAAGATTAAATATAAAAATAATTAAGGCTTCTTTAATATAAGTATCAAATTAAATAGAACCACTTGAAATCATTATTTCAAATTCATTGAAAGAAAATTGTTTTTTAAATTTTGTTAACACTGTACCCTATATATATATACAAAAAACCTCTAAGAAATCATAATTTTAACAATCTTTTTCTATATATAATAAAATAATATAAAACTGAACATAAAACTTACCAGTGTCCAATTCATTACTTGATGATGCATCAGTTGGAGGTTTATCATGTAAATGTAAGTAAACTTGTATAGCACATCTTGCCACTCGGAAATAAAATGGATGAGAACGTAACACATCTTCTAGTCTTAATAAATTTACATATGACCTTAAAGTCATCTTACGCATACAGTAAGTGTGAAAATCAAATTGATCATCAATAATCTCAGTAAAATGCTGAAATATAAAATATTATTTTAAGATTAAAATTTTGTTCTATAAATTATGAACACATTAATAATCATAAAAACAATGGTCATTTAAATCAGATATTATTTAGTTACTGATTGAAAATATACACTGAACTTTAGACAATAAATTCAATTTTCATTACAAAAATATCTTATTGATTAGATCTATAATACACTTGCATTTGTAAAATTCCTATTAATGACTAGTTACAGTTAGTAAAAATTAAAATACAGTAAAACCTTGATAAGACGGAATCGATTGGGGCCATGACATTTTTCTGTGTTGACAGGATTTCTGTCTTGACGGGGTTAGTTAATTATATGTAATTTGAAACAGGACCAAAAAAATATTCCGTAATACCGGGGTTTTCGTTTTACCAAAGTTCCGTCTTATTGAGGTTTTACTGTATAATAATAATTTATAAAATAACCAATTACAATAATTCAATAATTTCTAACAGAAAAATAATAAAATTAATTAATTAGTTAAACGGATATCAGATTCTTGTTTAAAAAATTTTAGGAACAGAAGATGGTTCAAAAAGTAGAAATATTACAAATAATCAAGTAGTACTGAACATGCTATTCAATTTGACAATGAAATTTTTTTTAAATAATTAAATACAACAAAAATGAATCATGTCAAAATTCAACAACTTATTTTTTATAATTTTATAATTAACAGTTCCTAAAACACAAATTGAAAAATGTGTAAAAGGAAATCAATTATTTTTACCCGATCAACTTCATGACATTTTTTCAAACTTTCACCCCATTTTCCCAGTCGTTGAAAAGCTAATGCACACTCAGTTTGGAACCACATACATTGCATCTCATTCAAATTTTCCATAGGTGAAACACCTTCCTATAACATTTCAAACAAAAAAATTATAGATAAATACATTTTTCTTTTAATGTTTACATAGCTGTAAAAATTTAAAGATAATATCACTATTAACTAACTTAAAATAGTATTAAACTATTTTTAACTCTAAATTTAAAATTAATTTCTTCAATATATCAAACAATTAATATACATTTACATTATTTTAATTCAAATTTTTTTTTCGAAGATATTGATTTATTGGAAATTAATTTATTAGGTGTACAATTATTTATTTTTTACTTAAAATATAAAAAAATTATAATTCCTAAACTTTTAAATTAAAACTACATATAAATATATATAAATTGTAAAAATAATATACTTTATTCAAGTTAAGAAACAACCTAAATAGGAGTCAACTTTCTAAGTAGATTCTAACCAAACATTCTATAACTCTACGAATTACTATTTTTTCCACATAATGAGACACGGTAAGATGAATTAAATGCACGAAAGTAAATACTAAACATCTGGTACTAACTTAATATGAATGGAAAATTGTAAGGTCTAAAATTAATTATTTTCTAAATAATATTGAATAAAAAAAAAAAAAAAACACTTAGTTATTACAAAATATATTTGGTGAACAAATAAAAGGTTTTGAAATTCATGAAAAAATGTAAAAATAATAAATCTACAAATACAATATATAATCTTTTTATCAGTCTAATATATATATATATAAGTAAAATTAAACTATATATTAAGTAATTTATATAAATAAAAATTAACTGTTCCATGTATGTAACTGTCGGACAAGGTTTGTATGAAAGAAAATTTTAAAGAAATTCTACCAGTCTACGTAAGAATATTTTTGTTCAGAATGCTTTTACAATATGGATGAATATGGGTGTCACCAATCTCTTACAAAGATCTCAAAAAGCTCAATAACCAGGAATTTTTAACAATTCAAGAATCATGTGAGGAAAGAGGGTTGTTAGAGAATGATTATCATTGGGATGTAACTCTGGAATAGGCTGTATAATATAAATCAGTGCCAAAGGTAAGAGAGCTTTTTACTACATTAATAGCAACATCTAGACTTTCAAACCCTAAAAAATTGTGAGAAAAATACAAAAATGATATGGCAGATATTTTACATAGATTCAAGAACACAATTAATAAAAATTTAACACCAAACTAATTAACCAATTTTTATATTATTATAGTCCATGTCAGTAATTTTGTTCAAATTAGGTTATATCCTTGTTTCTTTCTCAATAAATTTTAAAAATAAAATGCTTATTACAAGGCAAAGGATTGTAATAATATTGAAATTTTATAAGATTCTAGCAGATGGCAGTTAATTTATTGACACTTTTACTATCACATTGGGAAACCATCAAATCTATTTGTGTTAGCAAAAGATAGGCTAAAAGTATTGTGCACGATTAGTACTTTGTAAAATTAAAATTATACAATTTTGTACTCTTAAATAATAAAAATAATTAAAAACCAACCCAAGTAAAACTGGGTAAATCGGCTAGTTAATAATGAATCCTACAATAACTTTTCATAATAAATGTAATATTAAATAAACGTTATTGAGCTGTCTTACCCTTGTAAACTTTGAGCATGTTTCTTCAGCTTCTTTAATGAGATCTGCACGCAACATGTACTTGGCACACTTTGAATTAATATATCTGTCAGCAGTATCCAGTCCTTGAGCTTCATCTAGCCACTTATAGGCTTCATAAACATCACCAGCATGCTAGTAACAAAATATAAATAAAACAATGATACAAATATTTTTATAAAAAATAATATACATACTTTGAGTATTCTTCCTTTTGTAACAAACAGTTCAATCAAAGTTGGTGTATGTTCTATTGCCATATCAATATAAGTCAAAGCCTTTTGTATATCATCAAGATAATCATAATGTTGAGCTAGATAGTGATAGACCCATAATAATGCAGAAGCTGGTTCTTTAACTGAAACATCTTAAATAAACAATCACAAATATTTTTTAAGATTAGTTTAACAGAATAAATGACAAGCATTTGTATATCAACATTCAACAATTTATGTTATTTTTTTGCATCTTGTATTTATAAAATAAATAATAATTTTTAAACTAGAACTATAGAAATTGTATTTAAATAAATTTCATGGTAGACTTAAATAGTTAAACTATTCAATTATTTTAAAAATATTTTACTTTACCTTCACTATCAAATGAATTAAACATTGTTAAATTATTTACATAGGATTTTAATAAATCTTCAATTATTTGTACTTTTTGTTTATTCTTATACAAAGAACGTAAATCTACAAATAGTGGTGGAACACCTTTATGGAAACCTGCTCTTAAGTATGAATCAACTTCACTTCGGAATGTATTTCCTAAAAATATAAAATAAAATTAATTATTAATAATGCTAATAATAAGCAAAATGTATATACCTGAAGCAAAAGTTAAACATAAACGTTTAGGAGCTAAAGCTTTGGGAAACTTTTTTCGATAACCACATAACATATTATAAACACATTCATCGTTATGTAATTGTTTAGCTTCCTTTATTTTTAAATAGTAAGGAGTGTTTTCTTGATTCCTTCGAAGTAATTTTTCATAACACAATGTAGCTAAGTGATATTCTCCCATTTGCAAGTATAATGAACCTTAATTAAATAAATATATAAAAAAGTAATTAAAATTATAATATGTATAATTACTATATCGAAAAAATCATAAGTTACATAATTTGTTAACTTACCATAAATCTCTAGAACTGTTAATTTATCAAAAATGTTTTCTTTATACATATCTAAATGTTTAATAGCATCCAAAATTCCATGAGATTCTTGGATAACCATATTTTGATATAAAAGAAGCTCACTATACTCAAAGTCAAATGGTGCCTAATATAAAAATTGAAAACATAACTATGTTTAATACTCAATAACTATTACTTAATAAGAATAAATATTATTTGCTCAAAATCTTATATAAGTATGTAAAAAAAAAATTATTAAATTTAATAAAAATTATTTCTTGTAATAGTTTTAGTTAAAAATAATTTAACATTGCACACAATTAGTAATATCAATTTTAATTTACAACAGATAAAAAATTATTATTAAAACTTACAGACACCATTTGTGTTTTCCTAAATGTTTCCAAAATTTTTAAAGCCATATCGTAATCATTCAATAGATGATACGCCATAGCATAACCAATCCATGATGCTCTTTGTGTTGGTCGTAACATGAACAGTTGATATCTTGTATCCTTAAGGAATAATGATAAAAATTAAAAATAGTTAATTTATCATGATTATTTTTATCAAAATTGTAAAATCCTTTAATATTTTAAGCATAAATATTTAAAAGTTATTAAATAACTACTAAAATTACTTCTCTATTTCTAATATTTTTAGATATTTCATTTTTGTCAATTTAGTACTCTTGAACTCATAGTGGTCTACTTTTTTAATTATTTAATTATTTTATTAATTATTTTTTTTGTAAATTTATTACAATTTTTAAAAGTTTAATTTTAAAATATTAAAAATAAATAATAATAAAAAAATATAAATATTTAAATATTTAATTAATTAATCATAGTTAAATAATAGGAAGTATATTTATTTTTTAAATTATTATTATACTGCAAAACATTGATGGCATAAAATTCTACATATGAACAATGAATTCTAAATAACTACAGTATATATTTATAATTTAACTAATTAAAAATCTACACATCAACATTGACCAAATATATCAGTAATAACTTTGATAATACTGTTAATTTTCATATCATTTTTACTTAAAAATTAATGAATATAGTTTTTATTGTTTGAGTGTTAACATCAATGTTTATTTAAACAACATATTTTTTAAGGTTCACAATTTAATAATTATATATAAAATATAAAATATAAATATAACCCAATCGATGTATTTAATTTCCATCCAATATGATGGTTGTAATATTGGTAACACGCAAAATTTAATTTTTTATGTATGAATGTTACATAAAAAAGCTGATTTTATTTATTTATTATGATTAAACGAGCTAGCCCATTTACAATAGCTAACGTGGAAACATAAAATAACAATATACAGTATAACAGTTTATATGTTGTGAGAGGTATACAATATAGATTTAATATTTAAGATAATATTGATTAGTTTCAAGAGACTGAATTAGACCAGAATTGTAAAGAGACCAAATTTTTTAATTATAATCACTAACTAATCAAATAAAGGCGAAGTTTAATGACTTAAGGGTTAAAAAAGTCAAGTTAACAACGAAGAAGTTCTATTTTGAATATAGATATAATGATCATTGAATGAAAGAGAAAAATCAAGATAAATATCTAGATCTTTAACATGATAGACTCAATCTAATTCAACACTATTAAAAAATAAAAGTTTAATAAAGATAAACGCTTACTAAAGAAAGTAATAATTTTACATTTTGTAACTTTCAAGTAAAACTTGTTTGTATTACATCAATTACTTTAAACTATTAAGATCATATTGAAGTAGTTTGGTCTTATCAGCAATTAGTAATACATCTTCAATCCAGATAACTGTTTTGCCTCCAATTCATTCCAAAAATTGTAAAAATCTACACTCCTATTATATATCTACCATTATTCATTTTAGTTTAGTTTGGTATAAAATATTCTTATTGATCAATCAAATTTCTCTTAGATTGAATGTATACATGTTTAATAATACCTTTGTTGATATAAAAAAAAGGTAATAATAAATGTACTTAATTGTAGTCTAGTAATATGTGGATCACACATCATAATTGAAATAATTGTAAAGGCCACACATTCAATAAATACATTTTTATTCATATAATTTGATGTCATAAAATAAAATAAAGTTTAACAATTGTTTTAAAAAATTATAATGAATTTTTTTATTATTAATCAATCATATTTTTTAATTAATGTCTAATTATCTTCCTAATTAGTATCAAAAAATATAAATCTTGCTCAATTACAATTTTTAATCCAAAATCTTTAAAATCTTAGAAAAATGGCATATAAAGCAAAATTTAATAATAAGTTCAGTAAAGCTGTCTAGAAATAAAATAAGAACTAATTTAATCACATTTTACCTTTATGCGAGACAATGTATGTTAATTATAAAAAATAAATAGGAAATTAATAATAACTATGCATAGAATAATATTTACTCTGTATCCCTCCAAATCTCTCATTTGAATTTGCAACAGTGATAAATCTCGTAAAATTTGTATGTTGTCTTTTTCCCATTTTAAAGCATTCCTATAACATTTAATAGCTTCATCATACCTGAAGAGAAAATAATACATTAAATACATTTTATAACATACAACTACCTAATGATCCAATGAATATAAAAATATTAAAACTAACTTTTTATCTGATCTTTGCAATAACCCATACACATGCCAACAAACATGTGAAGTAAGATCATTTCGAAGGCCACGTCGAACATGTTCATAAGCTTCTTCTTTTCGACCGAGAAAATTTAAAGTCAGACCTTTCATGGCCAAAGTTTCTATATGAATCAAAATGTTAATCAATATAACACATTACTATGACTGTTAAAAATAATGTACCTCCATGTTCTGAAAATTTTGGATTTGAAAGGATCTGTTTCGCAAATTTCAACCCATTTTTGTATTGTTTTTGTTCATAGCATCTCTACATAAATAAATATATATATATATATATACACACACACACACACATATATATATATATATATATAAGTATATATACATAATATAGTTAGCAAAAAAAAAATAAAAAAAAAATTGAAATATAAACTGTAATAGTAGAACAATAAAACTATAAAAACTAATATTTTAAAAGTAGATAAATGATAAAAAAAATAAAAAAAACCAACGATTAAATGTTTACTATCCAAATGTAAATTAATAAAACAAACTTACTAAAATTCTTTTGAATAATGAATTTTCCTTGGGCGGTAACGGTTGGCCCGACGGCATTTTACTTAAGTTTTACACCAACCCTAATGAAAATAGATTTCCTAAATTACTGTCACTTTAAAAAGTGTAAAATTTAATTTTTTCGAAAGATGATCCTCGTGAGAATTCCCATAACACTTTTGAGAGAAATCATAAATACAGTTGAATGTGAAGTTAGAAACATATTATAAAATGATAAATATTTTTTTTTTTTTTAGAAGTTCTTTGATATTTATCTTCCATGGATTTAACAACTCAGAACATTGTTTTATATAGAAGAAACTCTTATTTAAACATTGTTCTTTGAAGAAATGTATTATAATCATAAACTCATAAAGATCTTTATATGTCTATAGTTATGTTATAATTATTTTGTTATTTAATGTTATTTATTAAATTATTACCAGTTTTTGATATTTAATAAGATATTTTACTAAAAGAAATCTTCATTGATTATTATTTTTGACTACAACTTCAAAACATACAAACTACCGCCAAATGTCAACACTATCTGCCGGACGCCGGTTACGATATATTGTCATATAAGGTCACTCGAACAAAATAATGGAAACGTTTTGAACGAAATATTAAATAAAATCTAGTGATGGTTATTATTGAATTAGTAAAATTAGTGATCAAAACAATTGCTCGAAACTAAATTTTGAAATTAATCCTATAGGGCTTTTCAATTGGTAAGAAATACAGGTTATTTGTTAGTTCTTAATTTCTACTTTGCTATAGTAAATTGTTAATTATGACTAGGCTCGAATTGATGACCTTAAAAACAATAAAAAATGACATAAAAATATATGCAAATATGACAAAAATTATAAAAAATGAATTTTAAAAATGACCTAAAAAATTACAAATATTTGTTTTAAATTAATAAAAATACATTTTTTTTTTTATATTTTACTCTACTTTACTGTAATATTCTATATAAATTTATCAAAATTTACAAATTAAAATATGATTTAAAAATAACAACAAATGTGTTTAAAATATGAAATTAAAGAATTACATATAGGTACTTATTTGTTTTATAAATTTATCAAAGTTTACAAATTACTCAAAAATTAAAATAATTGTATTATAAAACTAGAGCGTACCTATTTGATGTTATCAAAAGTTAATTAACGACGATTATCTGTTAATAAATATTTATATCAGGAAAAACTTCTCTTCAAGTCCACTGAAGTGATTGGGAGGCACAGACGAGTACTAACCGACGTTTTAATTTTCGTTATTTCGAAAATATCACGAAAAAAATAATAAAATTTAGATATATATATGAGGTATGATTCACTGACATGACAACGAGACGCAGGTGTGTAGCTCGGTATTTCAAAAGGGGGGTGTTATTCAAAATTATACACAACAAAATAATTATTTCACGTATACTTTATTCTACAATCATTAGTGATAGGAAAAATTCAGATTCGCTGAAGTTTGAAAATCCAAAATCCGGAATTTACTGTAAACCTGGATTTCAGATCTGAAAACATTGAATTAGTATTTTTTCAAAAACTATTTATAGTAAATACAAAATAATTAAACATCCTCGAAATTAAATAATATTTTGACCTAAACTAATTAAGAATCTCATATACAAGTTTTTGTGAAGTATTAAATATATATGCCGGATATTATAAAATACATTTTAGTTATTATTGTATCTCAAAAAGTAATGGTACGTAAAACTTGAAATGTTTACCAATTATTAAGATATCTTATTTAGATCACCATAATTTTGTCCGAGAATTAAAATAACGACTAAAAAGTCGTGTTATGAAAGCTATATGATTAAAATATAGAAATTTGCAATAATAAACCCAAATCTCAGATTTATAAATTCAAAAATCCGAGTTTCAGATAACAATATTATAATATACAATACAATGTTGAAGCAAATTAATATAGCTCAAATAATAAAAGAAAAATGATATGATAAGTTAACCAACATTGTCCAAACGCTAAATGGTTTATGCAACAATATTTAAACAAGTAAAGAAGTGATTTTCTTGATTTAAATTTTGATTGCCTTTTTATATACATTTCTATGAGTGTAACTACAATTTTATGTAAACAGTTACTTATATAAATAACCATAACGCGAGTAGGTACACAATAGTGTACATCGATAACAAAATAGCTTTTAAGGGATCTACAGCCTACAAGAGTCTATACCATAATAATAACGCAATCCAGCATGACTACAACGCGCATTCGAACGCAAAAATGGGTGAAGCTAAAGCCCTCGCCACGATACAGTCCACAACACTATCTCTTGAGCGTTACACACGTTTTACTTTTGATGTTGCGGCCTCTTAAACGATTTTCATTTATAAGTTATATTTTATTATTAAAGAATCTTGATTATGGACGAAATAATAAGTGTTATATTATTATCATTTATATTTTGGGAGGGGACATAAATTATATATCCGGGGGCGCTAAATTTTTAAATACGGGCCTGTTCAAAGTCAAAAACTATTATTTACTAATTCGATTATGAAAATTAAAATAGTATTCCTCCTCTAACGTCCCTCGTTCCATGAAAATCATACGATATACATTTCGAGATCAAGAATTGATTATTTTTAAAATAAACGAGATATCATTGGAAATAATCACTCGGTTACAAAATCGAATTATTATTTGGATAATCGAATAATTATCTTTATAATCAAGATATCCATCACTAGTTAGATGATATTTTTGTTTGACCCTTCTTGGTTAAGTATCTACATTATTTGTATTATTTCATATATTTGAGACATACCAGGTGCGTACACAAAAAAATATTTTGGGAGGGGTTTTAGGTTGTACATTTTCATAATAATATAATCTATATACCAATTTTACTATATAAAAACATATTTAATATCATTTTCCAGAATTTCAGGAGGGGTTTGAACCCCTAAAATCCCTCCTTATGTACGCGCCTGCATTATACACAGTCTATATTATACACAATATATTAACTGTGATTTTTAAGATGATGTCCTGAGTTGTTTCTGAATAATAAAAAATTAGTTTCACGTATATTTTTTACTCATAATGCAAAACAAATAGTACCTATATAGTAGGTACAATCCCAGATTTTTCGTGTAGCTATAAATGTTTAAATATAAATGAAATTAATATGTGTTTATGTCGACAAGCATTACAAAAGCATTACATTAACCTAGTTCCATTACAAAATCTACCAAAGACTTCAAAATAATTACGAATTATCTTTAATTATTGAACAACGATCAAGCATCTAAAAATGTAAAGATTATTCTCTCCGTCTTTAAAAACAGAAATAATATGAGATATTTTATAGCTTTATAATTTATAGTTAAAAAAATAACATAAACTTAAGTTTTATCAATGAATGCCATTTGTTTAATAAATAAATTGATAAATGTATATTTTAATTTAAAAAAAAAATATAACTGAAAACTACAAATTAAAGTGAGTTATGAATTCAATCCTCAAATATCTGTACTTCAAATTATAAAGCATTGAAGTTCACACTGAAAAATAACATTAATCATAGGAAAATTATTTAATTCTTTAATTAGTAGTATTAGGTAGGACAGAGATATCTGTTATTTGGTATTTATGATAATATAAATTGGACTATGGCATGAATGCTGACATTACTATATTTATGATTTATATTTTATACAATAATTAGGTATTAATATGTACTAAACTAAAAAACTTTATTAAAATAAAATCTTGATGCAATCAGTAAAATATAAATTTAGAAAATTTTAGAAAAATAATGATCTTATTCAAAAGTTCTCTGAATAAACCTCATAATCAGGGTTCAAAGTTATTGTACTAAGAAATCATTAAAATTGATCACATTATTGCAGTAAAAAATATCCAAAATTGAGTTATTTTTATGAAAATACCTAAAATTGAACTTAAAAATTGTAATAAACTTTTTATTTACCAAAATAATTAATTAAAAATGTTTTCCCTATGGGGATATAATTTTAACTTGTAAAAGAGGATTATTCAAGAATCATGTACATGTAATATTGTGATGGAATGTATGGCATCCCTAATCCAATTACATAAATTAAATTATAATTCATTGAATAAAAAGACTTGATTAACCGTGGTTTGCATTTTTTCCGTGTGACTCCTCCCCCAAATAATTTAAGTTCTACTGTATAACATTTTAAAGATATGTGATTTATTTTTATTAAGTACTCAACTATGATAATGTGAACATGTTATATTATTGTTAACTTAATTATTACACAAATAATATCATATGTAATAATTCACTACAATACCAAAAAAAAATTATTTATCTAATTATACATTTAGTCATTATTTCATACTATTAACAATAAATAAGTTAAGTACTGCTATTTTGTTTTGAATTTTTTTTTAAATACACTGTTAATGTAAAAATCTTTTTTGTTATACTATTTCATATAATTTATAATAATATATAATAAAAACAACTCATTTATGATGATATAAGCTTTTTAAAAATTAGTCATTCCAATTCTAGAAAAGATAAGCCAAACTTTGTACCTATGACCTCCACCTAAAATATATAAGTTTACTTGGTTAACTTAAAAAGGTGATATTTAAATTCACAACTAAGCTACTTTATTAGTCATTGATTATATAAGTAATACTGATGGAAATATAATAGATTTTTTTAACTGTTTAAAATAAATTGTATTGTAAAAATCTAAATGTTTCAATAACATTTAAATAATGAAATTACATTTAAACTAGTTTTTTTTTTTGGTTTCATAAACCATAAGATGTATAATTTATATTATTTCACAATATTCATTCAAAGATATAATTTAATTTAGTCTAAATTATGTAAATGTATTTTTTGTAATGAAATATAACAAAAAATATAAAATAAATTAATTTATAGTAAAATTACAATTAGTTACACATGTATTTATTTTCTATGTAAGACTATTTTATAATAAAGTATTTATTTTTTTTAAACCTCACTATTAGTTTATACATAAAATGTTTACTAAAATATGAATTAGTGTGAACGTAATAAATAAAACAATGACTAGATACTAAAAATGTAAATAGTTTAAAAATACAGATGCAAATCACACTTACAACAAAAAGGAACCAATAAAGTAGTATTATGATAATGGAATGTTTAAAAATGTAACACACATAGGTATTAAAATTTAAACTATATCATAATTTTTTTTCTTAACTAATAACCTATTGTTTTTCATGGCGTTCATTAACATCAATAATAGATAAATTTATACTAGCAACATAACAGTGAATCAATGAAATTAATGTTTTGACAAGCATTATTGGACATGATAACCAACACAACAGTTTAAATAAACCATGACCTGCAACTAAAAATAATAACAATTAGTAGTGTTAATATTATTGATTTCATAATTACTTACTTAATGGTCCTGTAATAAAATGACATAGATATAATGATGCAAAAAATAATTCATTTCCTGCACACATAAAAAATAGTATAGGTTTAGATGTATAATACCATCTCATTATAGAATTTCCAGACAATTCCACAAATTTATGACTAGTTTTACCTTGCAAAATTGATCTATTATAACAAATTAACATAATTTTATATAAAATAATCTTATTATTAGGAAATAATATTAAAATATATTACGAATGCAAGTAGATCCAGTGACAAGAAATATCAATAATGCAACTAAGTTGAAAAAAAAACATATATTTAGGATAAAAATTTGATAATGCAATACACAGACTCATCGTTCCACAGCGATCAGTTAATTGATCAAGTATAGCTCCAAACTTGGTACCTAAAAAATAATGTTTTATGATATAAATTAATTAAAAAAAAAAAAAAAAAAATGATACAACTATTTTCACATAGGTAGTATGACAATATGTCATTCAAATTATCTTACTTTGATTAAATGCTCGAGCTGCATGACCGTCAACAGCATCTAATAATGCACTAAGTACATAACATGAACATGCTATTTTATAATTGTTAGGCATAAAGTAAATAGAAACTACAGCCAGTACTACTCTAGCATATCCTGTAAAATTTATTACAAATATAACATATGTTAATAGTAATATTGGTTATTTTAAGTATAATATATTTCATTTAACATTTTAAGAGTGTAAAGTAAAAAATATAAATGATTTAAATCTGGTCATTTTTTATTTTTTTATGAATAGGTAAGTTTAAATTTTTATAAGTTTTAAAATTAAGTGGATAAATAATTGTGTTGATTGACATTGAAACCATTAAGTATTTGTTAAATATCAATCTATATATACATTGTAAACAAAAAGTAAAACACTTACCAATTAAATTTGGCACAAACAAAAATACATTCTCTTGTTTAACCATTATAAACAGAATGTAAATTAAACGGTTTGGATTATTTCCTAAGTCAATGAGAATAAAAGAATCAATCGAAATTGAATATTAAAATGATATTCAGGCTTGTATGAAATCAAAACGATAGGGCAAAATGTTCAAAATTAAAAAAAATACCGTAATTAGGCACCACAACAACAAATATAATACAGTAATTATCGCTACAGTAAACAAAGAGCAGACTATGTTACACTGAAATTATATAACACTGCTATAGCCTAGATAGTGAACTCAGCTGGTTGATGAACTGTGTACCACTTGTTCGAATACAAATTAATTACTAAAAAAATAAATGATAACGTTATGTAACTATGATAACATGGAATAAACGATTGCTCAAGAACGCGCGCCGTACCACCAATCGGTGCTTGAAAATCATCTATACTCTGTACCATTTATTTTATTTTATATAATAAAATCAATTGCACAATTTTTTTTTAAGTATAGGATATACGCTCTAAATTGAGGTTATTCGGGTCTTTTCCAATCAACGATCATGCCGTCAAAGTCGGATTAACTAAGGCTTCATCTTCATACACGCACCTCGCTTAAATAACATAGTTGGTAGTTATACCAATTTTAGTATATGCACAATACACTATATATGTATAGTTAATACAGTTAATTTCTTAGTTCCATGTTTAATTACTGTGTCAACATGTACAGTTACTTTACCTACTTAATAATTCTATATAACTGGGATTCTAGATTATATTTTTAAGATAGTATGTGTTTCTACATAGTATTTAAAATTATTTATAAAAACACTAGTAAAGAAAGGCACTTGCGCAGTAGCGGATCTAACGGTCGTTTAGTCGGCAAATGCCGACGGGGTCCCTAGCTATATTTAAGTATGAGGCCCCGTACATTTTTGGAATACCCAAAGATTATTTTTTTGTTTTTTACTATAAAAAATTTAAAAAAATTACAATAAGTAAGTAAGAGAACAAATTAATATGACAGACAAGAAGACGGTGAGTGAGGAAGCTATCCAGTAGAGACGTAATGTATATTCAATGGTACAATAGCTATTATTATTAAACGTTTTGTGTTGAGCGAAAACTTAAACGAATAATTTTCGTTACGTATTGTATTGTAGCATTGAATACTGATATTCGAAAGGTCGAATATTCAAATATTCGAATTATTTACGCTATACCTATTCGAATGCGAATATTCGAATACTCAAATAATTCCCATCACTGCTTTTCAGTGATAGGACTCTTAATAGAATACCCAATGTAAAAAAAAATGAGTTGATAATATTATTATTTCATTGTACGTAATATTATCGTTGGCTGATTGCGAATAAGACCCCTTTCACACGACGCCACCATGGTGGCGCGGCCAACAGAAACACAGAACTAGATTATGGTTTTCACACGTGGTGGCGCGACCAAATTGGTGGCGCCACCAGTCGCGAAGGTCGCAACCAAAATAGCTGGACGCGCGATCACATAAAGTGGCGCCACGAAAACATTTATATGGTTTCTTATGAAAAACGCGCGTTCTTTTCAAATGATCGGCCACCAGTCGCGTGACCAGACTATCTGCACTGTGTTTAACAAAATGGACAACATAATTTAATAATCATAATCAAGACGTCTATTGTTAATTTTTTTTAAGTATTATAGTATATGTAGATAAGTACCTAATACTATTACAATAAGTTAAATTACCTACATTGTCTTATATTTTTTTTAAAAAAGTTTTTTTAGTAGTATTTTTTAAAGTATTTATTAGCCAATATATATCTTACCTTAAAGTTACGATCAATTTTTCTACAGGTGAAATACAGTCTTTCATATTGGTATGTTGGCCGGTTAAATCATCTTTAAGAATGCCGAAAAGTTAATCAAATGAACTGATCGACATTCTTATATAATTAAAAAAATTGTCTTCATATTTTCTTAAATCATAGTAAAATAAATTGAATAAGCCTTTTGTTGAGCGATCAGCAATTAATGAATGTACCCAAAACTTCCCGGTTTTTTTTCTTTGCACGTCTACTACGGCCGTACAAATAAGCAACACATGTTAACTCTTCAATTTCCATTTTGGAACTAAATATTGGTTTAATTAGTTTGTTAGAATGTTGTACATTGTAAAATAAAATAATAAAATAATGTGTCTGGTGACGTGTTTGGTGGCTACTTTTTTGGTGGCGCCACCATGGTAGTCGTGTGAAAGGGGCCTAATCCAACGGGTCGGTAATCGCGAATGGACAAATGGACGTAGCCATTTGGACATGGGGGCTAATGGTGTCAAAAAAAAAAATATATAAATATTTATAAATTTTAAAACCATTGATATTTTATGTTCATAATATAACTAATGGTATCGTATCATAATATCAAACCTTAAGCTAGCCATACACGATCCGGTTTGCCGGAGATGTCGGACTCGGACTGTGCAGGCGGATTGCATAGTTTTTCCGGAACGTGTATGTGACAAGTTTGCAGTTTTTGGGGACTGTACAGGAAGCTGGAAAAGAATTGAAAAACGATTCTTTTTACCTGTGCAGTCATGTCTGTACAGGCATACCGGAGCGTGTATGCCCGTGTTTCGACCAGTTGATTTCCTATCACGGCATCGTATTTTTTCTGTTTATATTTTTTTTTTTATCAACTTAGTTTGTTGTTAACTAGTTTTACTGTACACAACTTAACAACTTAACTTATATATTATACTAGCTGAATTACCCGTCGTTGCCGGGTTTAAGTATATAAATGTATGTAACCTGCCAAGGTTAAATTTTGTTAAATCTATTGAAATTTAAATTAATTAAGATTTTTGAAATAATATTTTATACATATTAATTTAGTTTTTAAGATAATGATTATTATCATAACCTATTCGATAAGTTATAGCTTACAACTACCTGAACCTCTCTACAGTTTGGTATTCTGTTGAATAGCATCTCACTTACCTATAGATATCAATGTTCAGTATTGTCAAATTATACGATATGTGTATTATGTTATCGATTGTGTCCGCGTCGGTATCGTTATCGGCCTAACCGGTCTAGTGTACCGAAGGGCTTTTGATTTTATTATATTCAGTCGGAAAAAAGTATTTTAAATTGTAAAGGTGCCGACTCCGCACATGGAATAAAAAAGCTTTTTAATAAAATTCAAATTAAATATATTATTTCATAACGCAACAAAATCATTTATTTACTATACATCATACAGTCCATTAATATAAAATTTTATAACCGTTGTAATTTTAACCCAAACCAACAATTATCATAACCTATTCGATAAGTTATAGCTTACAACTACCTGAACCTCTCTACAGTTTGGTATTCTGTTGAATACATATAGCATCTCACTTCTCCGAATATTTTACCTTTTGTCAATAAGTTCATGGTCTTTTTGACTTTTAACCGAAACACTCTTGCAATTATATCATGTCGATCATATGATCTTTGACCGGGAAGTAAGAGCTCTTTTATCTCGTCCCAGCGAGGATTACATGTAAAAGTAATAAAAAGGTCAGGACGACCGTAATGTCTAACGTAGGTCATAGCATCTTGTGTTCTTTCGTGCATGTACCTTGGCCCACCAGTAAAAGTTGACGGGAGTATAACCATTTGGCATAACTGTTTAGTTTCTATGTCTTGTCGTCCAATCGCATCTTTTAAATTAATATAACTATCTGCACGCAATTTGGCTTGGTTGTTTTTGATGTAATTTAGTCTTTCAGTTTCAATTTTGGCGTATTCATCTACCAAATATTGACTGAAAAGAGAACGATAATTAACTACATAGTTGTCTTCCCCATCTCTGACCATTATTCTATATGAGTAAAAACTTGATGCAGAGACAGTTTTTTTAAGTGGTAACTTGGTTTTTGGATCGCGTTGTGGTATATTGATTGCATACCCATCATCCCCCAACAAAACATTAAAGGATACTGCAGTGCGTCGTATGCTCGATGTATCTCACTGATACGGTGAAGTGAGTTACTTCGGTTTTCGAGGATGATGTCTCTTCGATCAAACTGCTGATCTACTAACACTTAAGCAACTTCATTTGCCGTTGGTGCATTATACCTGCCTCTATGTTCTTCTGGTGGTTTTTTATCTGCATGTATTACAACTTTAAATGACTCTGAAGGAGGTATTTTATCGATGGTAAATTGTAATGATCAATTATAAATTATGCGGTGGCATGCCTAGTAAATCCAATGAGTTTAAAAACTCTGTTGGATAATTTACAACTTCAGTAGCATCGCAAACTGTATCTAGATTTGTATGACACCAAGTTTTCTGGTAACAAATTTTGTATCTTGAGATTCAATTCGTTGACCTCCACATTTTTTGCTACTAAAATTGCTCTTTCTGCCAGCCACTCATGATTTGTGTATTGTCTGTGTACACTGGGACATATCTGGTCAATGAGAACATCTTGCGAATAAATGATTGTGCAGAAATCGTTCGGTAATTTTATACATCCCGTTTCATCTGTAGTAACTTTCCCATCTCCAATATCTAACAATTGTTTTGAGAATCTTTTGCACGCAGCTTTTTTTAATTGAATCGAAATCGAAGTATCGAAATCGTTCGCTATCTATCTTTATATATATTTTGACCATGAATTGTTGACAAAGCTTATGTATCGTAAAATAACTTAGTCCTGATCGCGTCTAATCATCAACCGATATGCATAATTTTTTGAACTAAAATTCTTATTTGTTTTGGCACTTGTTGCGGGATCTTTTTGTTTAATATTTATGCAATACCCGTCATTTACTACCAAAAATAAAATTAATAGTTTTTTAATAATTTTTTAATAGTTTTATTTAATATAATTCATTTTCAATAGCGCATTTTTCGACCTGGTCAAAAAATATTAAACCGATTTCAACCCTTTAAATTCGAAATTTCGAAAAATCCTTTCTTAGCGCACGTCTACATCATAATAGCTATCTATATGCCAAATTTCAGCCAGATCCGTCCAATGGTTTGAGCTGTGCGTTGATAGCAGTCAATCAGCTTACTGTTTTATATATACAGAAGATTATTATTAATAATAATAAGCTGTAAGATTTTGGAGGAATTTATCGATTTATATAAATATATATTTATATATATAAGAGCTGAAGGCTGTTGGTCGGAAACTGTGACTGCACAGTTCGGCGTCTCCGGCAAACCGTAGCGTGTGTGAAGTCGCGTCGTCGTCGTCGGAAATCGGTAAAAACCGTGCAGGTTAAACTGTGGATCGTGTATGGCTAGCTTTATCGAATTTTATCGTTTTGGCAATAGGTACTCTTTATATCAATATATATAACTTAGGCTCGGGCCACACTATGCATTTTATCGGTTGCCAATAATCCGGAACCGATTGATAAACGACCGCAACATCAATAAATAACATATAAGCCGCATTATCGGGGCCACACTGATCGATTCGGAAAACCGATTTAAAACTCGTCGGGACAAACCACAACGTGTTGCAGTTCGACATACCTGATACGTTTTGGAAAGTACTTCAAAAAACTTTATTTCGTATTGTGCTGACTACACTTGCGGATTATCGGTTGCGGTTTACTAATACACATTTCGTCGAAATCAAATCATTTAAAATAATATATATATATAAGGTTTCTTATTATTCCATATTAGTTTATATAACAATATAACTATCATAAAAAGTTTACAATCCGAGTTTTATGATAGGTCTATCTTTAGCACTATATAGTAATAATATAATATTAAACCAGCTAAATTTCGTTGAAATCAAATATAATATCACAGTAGTCTAATATTTCCAAGAACATATTATTTTGAATTAAAATATTTTTCGCACTTTTTAAATCGGCAATCGATAAAATGCGTTGTGTAATCGGTCTTCCCCACAGATATATTATTAAAATATTATATTTAATATATATATATATATCTATGTTCTTCCCGATTTCGGTTTATCGGGATGCGGTTCATCGGCAACCGACAAAACGCATAGTGTGGCCCGAGCCTTATTAGTATTTACAACTTATAATAATTATCACAATTTATCGAAACACGGTGATACACGAGACCTTTATCTAGGAACAATTCTTGGTACTTTTATCTCCACGTCCAACACCTCGGAAATCTCCTTTGATTTCAAAAATAATTGCTGGAAAACAGAATCACTCTATGTTCTCTTTTGCTTCAGAACAAAAATAGTGTCTTTCATTGCATCGGTTGCCCTTTTTAAATCAATAGCCGAAGTCTGAAAAAAACGGCTGTGATACAGTTGTACCTAAAATTTAAAATATTTAAATATTTGTAAATTAAATAAAGAAGTCATCACATTATTTATTTTATTTATTTTTTTTAGTATTCAATCCGTAGATTGGTCTACAATAAATGTTCTCTCCATGATTCTCTGTCTTGTGCTTTGTCTTTGAGTTGTTTGTACGAATCGACTCTTGCATCTTTAATTATTTGACTTATGTAACATGTTCTTGGCCTACCTCTTTCGCGTTTCCCTTCTATCATACCTTCCAGTATGAGGCTAGGAGCTCTTCATTATGTCTTAACGTATGACCTATTATATGCCATCGTCTTGACCTTAAATTATTTAGCAATGTTCTTTTCTTTTTGACTAAATCTAATACTTCTTCGTTTGTCTTCAATTCCGTCCATTTTATTTTCTTCATTTTACGCCAACACCACATTTCAAAAGCTTCTAGAGTGGTTTCCTCTTTTTTGTTCAACGTCCATGTTCCACAATCATATAATGCTGTACTCCATACGTATGTTTTAATTAAATGTTTTCTCGTTCTTTGATCTACATTATTTGATGTTAGTAATTTACTCTTAAGTAGAAATGCCTTTTTTGCTTGCCCTATTCTACTTTTTATTTCCTTTTTTGACCTTCCTTCATTATCTATTATACTTCCCAAATATTTAAATTGATTTATTTGTTCCATTATTTTTCCTTTTAGGGATATGTTAATGTTTGGCTCATTTTGTTTACTACATATCATTACTTTGGTTTTTTCCGAATTTTTATTTAATTTGAATTCTAGAAATATGTTATCCATTTCAATAATTGCTGTTTGTAGATCGTTTTCAGATGTGGCGAGCAAAACTATATCATCTGCAAAGCATATCATTGGTATTAATATACCTACTATTACTACTCCTATCATTTGTTCTTCTAGCTTTTGTTTTATATCTCTTATCGCTAGTTCAACGTAGACATTAAATAAAGATGGTGACAGTGGACACCCTTGTCTTACTCCTTTCTGTAAATTAGCTGTCTTTGTTGTGGAATTGATTTTAATTTCCGCTTCTTGATTTTTATATATTGCGTGTAGAATATTTCTATCTTTAATGTCTATTCCAACATTGTTCATTACGTTAAACAGTATTTTCCAATTGACATTGTCGAAAGCTTTTTTTAAATCTACAAAAGCCATAAAGGTTTTCTTTTGCCTATCTATTTGTTTTTCTAATATTATTCTTAAGCTCTATATTGCTTCCCTGGTACCATTGTTTTTTCTAAAACCATATTGATCGTAATCTAGCTATTATAATAATACATAATAATACAAATCTATAAATCATCACTTACCTAAGACATCATTCAAGCATAAAGAAGCAATAATGAATTCAGAACTACATAGAGCATGTAAGAGATATTGAGCGTCACTCGCGGTTTTGCTATCATCCCAAGTTGTAATTCTGTGTAGGGCATTACACATTTTGACCAAGTTATCGCCCTGAAATTGTAAGTGTCCATCGTGCTTTTCAACCCAACGAGTTTCGCATATTCCTTGTACATTTATCCCTTGAAGCTCCTTTTCAAAGACTTAGTGTTGTTTTATTGAAAAATTATCAAAAGCTATTACTTTCCTCATAGTTGCTGAAGCATTACGACAAGATGTAACTTTTGAAAATTTGGCTAATGAGTTGTTCAAAATATAGTTGTTGCATGGACAACTCTTAGCGTTAATGGCCTTTTTAAAAAGTTCGTGAACTGCGCTCTTAGTTTCAGAGACCATCATAGAGCAGCTGTCTGTACCTATGCCAACCCACTATGCTAAATCGATATCAAATTTAAAGCAAAAATCTTCTATTATACGTGACAATGCAACGCCTGTTAATCGACGCTCTGCATTTGCGTCCTCAACATGAATCATCTCGTAAGCATTACAAAAAGTTAAAAATTCCTCCTTGATTATTCCATTGTAGAAATATCGAAAGGAGAGACTCAGTTGCTGAGTGTGAGAGATATCAGTTGTGTTATCAAATTTTAATAAAAATAATTTTGCTTCTTTTACTTTAGCTAAAATAGTTTCTTGAATAAAATCTTTGCATGTATCAATAAGTTCATTTTGCACGATTTTGATAATATACGTTGAATTGGAGTTTCTGTTTCTAAATGCTGACGCAGAATTAAGTCACCTGACTTGATACGAAATCTTAGAAGAGCTCTAAAATTTCCCTCTTGATTTGCCACCATACTATTTTGATAATTTCCACAAAATTTAAACTTGTATTTCCGTCATCCCTATGTCCACGAAACGGAATATTTTGGCGGCCACATAATATAATTGTACTGACAAATGGTCGCAAACGATCTCTATTTTCTTTAATTTGCGCTCATCGTTGCTTACAGACTTGATTAGAAATATTAAGGTCAGGGGTATGGTAATTTACAAGAAAACTTTTTCCAGTTTCAACCGAAATTTGGTGATATTTATTTTGCTGGTGTGTTAATAGTGATCCTTTTTCTCCTAGTAGATCATTAAAAGCTGGGTTGTTTAACAAGCCATTTAAGAGGCGTATTTGTTCGAACTCCGCCGCCTGAGCTTGTAGCAAATAGAGCGCAATATTTACAATACAGCCCCTGGTCTTTATGTGATAAAACGAGCCAATGGAATTTATCAAGATGAGATTTTTGAGCGAACTTTTTAGTTTGTTTTCCATTCTTGGTGACCACACAAATTTCATAATTTATAGGCGGGATCCAGTGATCTTCAAGTAGATTAGTAGATGAAACAGTAAAAGTAGATACAACTAATATCTTGTTTGTTGCTTCTGGTGCATTTAAAGGTATACTAAGTCGCAGAACAAATCAGAATATACGGAGTATTTGGCTTTAAGTATGTTATTTTAAATTTAAGTTTATTTATTTTTTATTCTTCAGAGTCTAGGATTTTAAGTATGCATTGATACTGCAATGGGAAGTAGACGAGCTACTGCTGAAGCTGATCGTACAAAATCATTAACTTCTTACACAGATATCGAAAAAGAAAATACTGAACGAGATGGATTGTTGAAAAAAATAGAACCAAGGGTTCAATTTGGAATGATACCTGTAATTAATTATTCATTTATTATCTAAACATTCTAAACTTTAAAATAATGGAAAATTTCATACTCAAATTATTTTTTGTATTGGTTTTATTTAACTAGCCTTAAAACTATTTAAAATTTTATTATAATCAACTTTAATATTATTATTTTATCATTTTATAATTAAAAAATTACCTATTTTATTTTATAGTTGAATTAAATAGTTTTATAGCTTGAATATTTAATTTATATATTGTGTATATATTTAACAATTAATTTTTTATGTTTCAATGTAAATAACTTATATTCAATTACAGTATAATGATTATAAATCAAAAAAAATAAAATTAACTAATTAACTATATTATTTTAAAATAAAACTTTTAAAAATTAACTGTCAATATTTGGAGTAAAACTTTTCAATCATAAAATAATTGTAGTGTGCATAACACAAAAATTAATAAATAATAAACACTAAATATTTAATTTATAATTTTTAAAAAATTTTATTTTTTATTGAAATAGGTTTTAAGTATTTTAATATGTATTTTAGCTTAATCTGCAGGGTTAGGTTAAAATGTTGGCTTTTAATTATATTGAACTAAATAACTATAAAATTAATTATGAGTAATTATTAATTAGATTAAAATAAGTATATAGTTTAATTTTTGATTTTCAGTAATCTTATTTTTTAAATTTGTTTGAAACTATTTAATGTTTCATTTTAATTAATATTAATTGAATCGGTCATTTCGAAAAAGCCGTAACTCCATAAAATAAAAAATTGTTAGGACACGTAAAAAAACTGTTTTAGTGATCAAAAATTAAATTTAGATAAAAATTGAAAAAAGGTTGAGTTATTTAATTCCCTTATAAAAAACCAGTTATAATATGGCGGTCTTGCAGGAAATATGCATTATTATTAGTTAAGTGGGTCGGAAGCAGATCTTTTTTAAGGGGTTGAGTATAGACAATACCTTATACGCGTAATGTTATGCCTTCTGAGTGTGTGCGTTTGTAATCGATTATTAGTGTGCGTGTGACTTCCCCAAAATAATACGCTTCAACTTTATCAGCAAACGAACTGTCATTAGTCATTACCGTCGTCGTTTATACGCCGTAATATTATTCAATATTTTTATTACTATCATTTATCAATTCATAATAATTAATAAGTATAAAGGTACGTTTTCCCTGCAGCGTCCAGACGCAGCGTCTAAACGCAGAAAAATGGGACTCCTAGACGCAGCGTTTAGACGTAACGCGCGCCCGTTCTCTCTGCATGCGTTTCGATGCAATAATATATAATTTTTTGATCAAATTGTGTTCTTTTAAATTCCATCATGGTGCAACCGTGATCTAGTACACAAGTAAGTTTCTTTATTTATTTTCCAAATCTTTCTATCATGATGCACCGACAATTCATTTTGAACAACAATAATATAATTTGTGAAATACTCAAAGAAGAAGAAGATTTTGAAGATGAATTACTTTTAAGAATGATTCCTGAACAGAGAAATGCATTCAACAGTATAGTATCTACGAGGAAAACCTAGGGATTTTTTAAACAATTGATCGAAGGACATCTTTTTAATAATGATACTAAATTTCGAGAATTTTTCCGTGTAAATAAAGAACAATTTTATTTTATTTTATCATTGGTCAAAAAAGATCTTACAAAGAAACCAACTATGCGAGTACCTGAACCAATATTCGCCGACGAAAAATTAACATTAACTTTAAGGTAAATATTTTAGTCAATAATATTCAAAATAATAACAAATATTTAGCATCATGTATTTAAATATATTTAGATTCTAGACAGAGTTATGAATTTATTGATTTATGTGTGTTTATTTTTGTTTGTGTTCTATGACTTGTTGAAATAATGCATGAATTTCAAAAGTAATAATTTTCCTACAACTTTTGTAAAGCGTCTAAAAAGAACACTGAAAGTGACGAAAAAACGGGAATTTTTACGTAAAACCAGTTTCGACAAAATTGATTTTTTCATATTGTAACATAAAAATGAATCAGTGTAAATACTTAAAATGTTCACTATGTTTATATTAGCATTATCAATACACGATTTAATTTTCAAAATATTCTGGCTTTTTTTAAAGTTATTTAAAGACAACTATAACATTTTCGATTTTTCTAAGATTTTTCTTTAAAACGTCGGTAAAAAAAAACTTGAAAATTTAATACAAGGTTCTTTATAATTTTTTCTTATTGTAGTTAAAAAAAATCAAAAATCGTTAGTCACAATTTTTTTTTATAAGCTTTTAAAGTTCAAATTTTTATGAAACGTGTTAAAATCTACTGAACAGCGGAGCGTTATCCACTTGACTGCCATTCTTTTAAAAATTTTACTAACGTATTAATACAAGTAGCTAGTAGATAATTATGCAAAATTAATTTCGTAATTAATAATTTAAAGCTCTAATGATGATTAATCATTGTATACGAATAGTGATTCTTGACGGTCTGGATAATTTTATAATAGATTAATATTATATATTAGATATACAGGTTGTTCCAAAATGATTCATCCGATTACGAACTGATATAGTTCGACAACGGTTAATCGCAGGTTAATGACCAATGTATTAATGGAAAGATTAGATAACTAAGTTTATTTTAAGTTATCTAGTTGTTAAATTCGGCACCGTAATCGTTAGTGACGTAACTTAATTAGTTGTTATCGAAATGTTGACCGAGCTACAAAAGGCGTTTTGTGTGCTCCGCTTTGAGAAGTGCGAGTCTGTTATAACCGTGCAGCGTGATTTTCGTCGAAAGTTTAACATTGAACCTCTAACAGCCCAGAGTATTCGAAGATGGCATAAAACCTTCCAAGAAACTGGTTGCTTATGTAAAGGGAAGTCATCAAGTAGACCAAGAACTTCGGATGAAAATGTTGAACAAATTCGAGAAAGTTTTGTAAGAAGTCCACAGAAATCAGATGGAGATGATTTCATTTTACAACAAGATGGAGCACCACAACATTGGTCCTTAGAAGTACGCAAATTTCTTAACGATCAGCTACCACAGAAATGGATCGGTCGCTGTAGTGCTAATGACGCTACATTTTGTCCATGGCCCCGTTCGCCGGATCTTACAATCTGTGATTTTTTTTCTCTGGGGTTACATAAAAAGCATTGTTTATGTACCTCCCCTTCCAAAAGATCTTGACGAATTGAAAAGTCGCATTACAGACGACATCAACTTGGTTACAGTCGACATGCTTCAACAGGTTTATGAGGAATTTGAATATCGCTTCGATGTGTGTCGTGCAAGTAAGGGGGGTCACATTGAACATTTATAAGCATTGTACCTAAAACTTAAAATAATCCATTAAAATGTAAAATTAATTTTAACATGATTAATCAAATTTTACAATAAATATGATTTTTTTAAATCGGATGAATCATTTTGGAACACCCTGTATTATATCACTTAATATTATGTATTACTTAACCAAAATTATTAATATTTTTAAATTTATATTTCAGATATTTAGCTACAGGTGAATCTTTTAGGTCTTTATCGTTTGCTTTCCGAATTTCTTACAGCTATATTAGCGTAATAGTAAAAGAAACATTGACAGCATTAAAACAAATGTTAATGCCATTATTTTTACCAAATCCAACTACTATCGACTACAAAGTTAAGGCTAATGAATTTTAAATTAAATGGAACTTTCTCAACTGCATACTTGCGATTGACGGAAAACACGTAAGAATCCGATGTCCTAATAATTCAGACTCTTTGTATTTTAATTACAAAGATTATTTTTCCATTGTATTATTGGCATGGTCGATGCAAACTATAAATTTATTGCGATCGACGTCGGCTCGTTTGGAAGAGGAGGGGGTAGTGGAATTTTTTTAAAATCAAATATGGGACAGCAAATTTTGAATTGTACTTTTAAATTTCCAGAGGATTGTGCATTTCCCAATTCAAACTCTGTAGTACCTCATGTGGTACTTGGTGATCAAGCATTTAGATTACATAAACATATATTACGACCATTTTCACAAAAATCGGCTAGAAGAGATAGTGGAAAAACTATATTTAATTATCGTCTTAGTCGTGCTAGACGAGTAACAGAAAATGCGTTTGGTCTGTTGAGCCAGATATTTAGAGTGTTCTATCAACTAATAAATATCAATCCAAGTACATGCGATGACTTGATAATTGAAGCATGTTGTTTGCATAACATGTTACGGGATGCCTACTTAGAAAAAAATGGAAAAGTATACCATCAATTTGATTCAGAACAACCTATCCCTGATAACAACATGCTGCCATTGGAACATGAAAGAGGTTTTTTGAGTTCAGAAGGACTTGCAGTAAGAGAGATTTTCAAAGATTACTTCGTTAACGAAGGAGCAGTACATGGCAAACATGAATAATACAAACTAAAATAATAATTATTATGTTTTTAAATTTTTAGGATATTTATTTTTTTTTTAATTTAGTACCTTTCATAATATTGTTTATACCATTTAAATCTATAAATGTACTTTTAATTAAATTTAATATTTATAATCTATACGTAATAATATATTATATAATATTTTATTTGTATATTATTTAATTGCTTCCTTGGGAAATACTGAATAATAAACAATATGAGTATAGAAATTATATATTAGTACCTCGTGGATAATATTATTATTAAAACAAAAATAATTCACAAAGGACGTAGGAAGCTAACAAAGTCCTTACTATTTATAAATGTTTAGGTTTTTGGTTTTCTGTGTTAAGTATAACAGTTTTAAAATATCATAAATTATATTTGCTAAAATGTATATTTTAATGAAATCGGTTTAAATAATTCTTTATATAGCGTTGGAACAAATACTTTATAATAATCTTTTGGTTTATTAAAAAAAAAAATATGATCATCTTTCATAAAATACCTGAATACGAACTTTTATAGTTTAAAAATTATAAATCATAAAAATTCATAGCAAAATTAACAAAATAGTATACTTTTTTTAATACACTGTATAATGTATATCTAAAATAAAAATAAAAAAGTTAACTTTAAAATGATGAAAAAATATTATAAAAAATGTAAGTAACAATTAATTTGTATTATCTTCTTCGTAATTATATTGCATAAATCCGTGCGATGATGATGAAGTAGTTGGGGAAGAACTTGGCGCCATGAACCTCTGTTGTAGTGGAAGATTATAATCATAATATTGAGATTGGTGTACTTGAGGTTGTTCTTGAATGTTGCAATATTTGTCCTCTTATTGGTTAACCAAACTTAAAATTTGCATTTTTGCTTCATTTATTGCATGTCGATGTAGCTTTTTTTAAGTCGTGGAAATACTTTTGAAAAACAGATCCACACTATCCTCTTGCTGATTGCTGATACCGGAGACAAAAATTTCATTTTGTGCTTCGATTTTAGACAGTATAACATCCCTCTCTTTCGATCTTTTTGCTAAGATTTGGCTAATTTTATCCTCTCTGGACATTATCCGTTTTTTTCTGTATGATGATGGTAAATCGTTAGATATTTTTGCGGATTCTAATGATGTGTCTTCGTCATTTTCTATGTCAAATAGAGCTTCACCATCACCTCCGTCTTCAGTTGCGGAAAAAGAATTATCAGTAAGTTGCTTTTCCACGTTTGATATAGTCCTACAATTTTAAAATTTTAATTTCAGTATGTTAAACTATATTTATTAAATACAATTTCGTATTCCACAGAATCCATAAATGAGAAATGTGACAGTGTTCTATTGACTTTTTCAGATGTAGCTGAACCAGTTGACAATTTTTTTTTCTGTTTCATATACATATCCCTAATATTCCTCCACCTTTTTTTGTAGTCTTCTTCTATAAAAAAACTCTTAACTTTTTAACTTTCATAATTTAAAAGCATAAAAATATTGTTATAATAAAGCTAAGTAATTACAATAAATTATATCCATCTAGTGAACTAGTTAATACATATTTAATTAATTAAATTAATTATTACTAGTTATTAGTACTATTATATTTTTATATATACCTGTTCTACCGACTTTTTCTAAAATAGTTTTCCAGATAGTTTCTTTGTGATGTAAATCTTTGTGCTTAGGGTGAGCACTATCAAAAATTTCACGGTTTTGTTGCACAAATTCAATTAAAATTTCATCCTCAGTTGAGGAAAATACAAATTTTTTAGACATTTTGTGTGTTGACGCAAGACGTTTCAACGAAGTATTAGTCCAGACTAGTAGTGCGTCCGGACGCACTGCGACATTCACTGACGCGCTGCGTTAAACGCAAGTAGGAAAACAGTTACAAATAAAATGCATGTATCTAGTAACAATGCGTCTGACACACATTTTATAAAAAAAAGTTATAGAACGAATATTCATAATATCTAATTAATAATTAATTCAAGATGTATTAGAAATAAAATAAAAAGCTAAAGATGCTATAATCATAATAAATAAATTCGTAAGTTTTATTGTAATTATATTTATATAATTTATCACAATAACTATAATCAGTGGCGCCGAACTAATATTAAAATGATATTAAACCACCATCACCACCCCCCAATTTACTTCATAAAAATGTTTTTTAGTGTTTTTGCTACCCCTTCCTCCTCTTTATTAGTACTACATGAAAAATACAAATCTACAAATAAGTTTTGTTAACTTTTATCATTTTAAAATTTAAATTTTAACATAAATAATACCTAAATTATTATTAATATATTGTAATTAATATACCTAAGTAAATATGATAAATTATTTTTAAGTAAAAAAAATAATAATAATAAAAATATACTTTTAATATATACGATTGAATAATACTATCTCATTTAATTTTAGACATAAAATAATATACTTAAAATATTAGAGCTTTAGATAATGTAGATGATCTTCTGGCAAAATTATTCACAACTGTTTTGGTTTCTATAATTATATCAGGTTCACGCGATATGATCATTCAAGTCTACTTTGAACCATAGTTGACCGAAGTCTGTTTTTAACTAATTTAAATTTAGAAAACGATCTTTCAGGCGAAGCACTGGAAATTGGCAATGTTAAACCAATTTTAAATACATTAAATAAATTAGTAAAAACTGTTTTTAATCCTTTAAGTGAAAAAAATGTATACAAATATAATAGTGTTCCTAATTTCATTGTAATAGTACTACCAGTTTCATCATTGTTAGATTCATAAGAACTTGAATATTCTTCAGATGATGAATTAGAAATATTATGAAGAAAATTTGTTAATTTTACAGAAATATTTATGTCAATATTTGAGTCAACTAATTGATTATATTCTCCCGTTTTATTATCTTTGTTGAGGAATTGAAAATAAGTTTCTGAAATACAAGTAAAAGCATCAGAAGGAATGTTTTTTCTTCTTCTCATAGAGTTAATACATTTAGTAGATAATAATACAAAATCTTTTGCAATTTCTATAGCATTATCTTCAAATCTTTTTTTTAGTTCAGTTACATTTTTATCAATAATAATATAGTATGTATTCACTTTATAAAAACAAATCGGATCATTAATCGGTTCATCTCTAGTAATTTCTCCAGACTGACGTGGAACTTTTTTATTTCTTTTATGTGGAAAGATCAATTCATTTTCCAAATTAAGGTCATTTGCAGATTTTGTGACTGAACTATAAATATTTAGGAACACTTCATCATGTCTCAAAGAGTTAATATTTTTCTCAGATTTTTTTAAAAGATCTATAGCCATTAAAATATCAATGTTATGAGCTTGAAGAGCACGGCTAACTAGTTCTATATAATCGAAAATTTTTTTAATCCCCGTGGATGATAGACATTCCAACACTATTTGCCATGACGGAGGCGTCCGTGTATTATAAGTGCGTGTTGCTGTTTAGATGAAAGTATTTCAATGAAGAGGTTTCTGTATTGAGTGGTGCTGGTAGATTTATTGGGGAGTTGATGTAGGTCAAGGTTGATGTTCATCGAGATGCGCCACGGAGGGGATATGCTGATTTCAGTTGTCAATATGTTATCTGGATCATATTTTTTGTAATGGTCGAAAATGAGGTTGGGTGAGGAGTGAAGACCTTGGGGGGTACGGACAATTCTGGCGGCGATTTTGAATGTTAGTTCTGACCATCTTATGTCCAATGTTGGAATGCTGGCAATGTTGAGTATGTTACTGATGGAACTTGATTGGAACGCGCCTATGGATAGTCGAATCCCTAAGTTATGTACAGATTCTAGTATGCTGAGGTGAGAAGGTTTGGCGGTGGATATAAGTGAGGCTCCGTAATCTATTTTGGAAAGGATAAGTGATTTATGGACTTTCAGTAGCATTTGGGTTTGTGCTCCCCACGCTGTGTGGGAAAGTATTTTGATTAAATTGATTTTAGAAAAACAGGATTTTTTTATGTGTTGTATGAAAGGGCACATTGAAGCTTTTGAATCGAAGATTACCCCGAGGATTTTGACTTGAGTTTGGTTCTTGATAGTGTGGCTACCCATTTTTATTTCTATTTTTTCCTTTTTTCTTTTTTCGTTGATGATTATGAGGCTCGTTTTGTTCGTTGCGAATCGGAAACCGGACGTTTTAGACCAGGGTTCAAGTTTTTTTGTTGTGTCTTGTAGCAATTGTTGAATAGTGCTGATGTTAGAGCTGCGGCACATGATATTGAAATAATCAACATATAAAAGAGGGATATTAGGTTTGCATATTCCTTCAGAAATGTCATTGATGGCGATTAGGAATAGCGTCACTTAAATAGTAGAACCTTGGGGTACACCATTCTCTTGTGTAAATGTGTCGGATAGAACGTTGGAGATTTTAACTTGAAACGTTCGGGTGCCGAGGAAATTATTTATGAAGTCTAACATGTTACCTTTGGTTAGAATTTTGTCGAGCTTGTTAGCTTGTTTCTAGGTCTCCAGGCTGAGTCATATGCCTTAGTGATGTCAAAACTAATCAGTTCTAAGCTTTGATTGTACTTAATAGCTGTTTGGATTTCATTTTTAATGTTTAGAATATTCTTAGTAGTACTTCGATCACGTCTCAAAACCGTTTTGTTCAGGAGTAAGGTAATTAGATTTTTCCAGGTGCCATATTAGGTGATTATTAATCATTTTCTCGAGTAGTTTATAGAGCGTATTTGAAAGACATATAGGACGATAGCTATCAGGCAAAAATTTGTTTTTGTCTGGTTTTAAAATAGGGATGACAAGACTATGCCTCCATGGGTTGGGGAAACAATTGTTGTTCCAGATTGAATTGTATATTGATAGTAAAGGGATCCTTGCGTTTGCTGAGAGATTTTGTATAAATAGGTAAGGAATTCCGTCAGGGCTGGGACTTTTGCTTTTGCAATTTTGGAGAGCTTTCTCCAGTTTTGTGATGAGTAGAGATGAGTTGAGTTATGTTTGGACAATATTATGGGGATCTACTGTGTTTGTTGGGTTGTAGTACATGAGAGCCTTGGATAAGAATTCCTGATCATAGGTGGATTTACTTGAATTCTCTTGAAACATTTGGCCCAAGGTGTTGGCTACTTCTTTAGGAGATTTGATGTTAGAGTCTATGTTGAAGTGGATAGTGTTTTTATTGGTACCACTGATAGATTTGAGTTTTTTCCATACAATTGAGGAATCAGTTTGATTGTTGATACTGGACACATATTGTTTCCACGATGAAAATTTGCTGCTCTTGTCCAGATATCTGGTTAGGGCTCGAGTCCTTTTTAGATTAATGAAGTCCGCTAGTGACTAGGAGGTTTGGAATTTCTTGAGACCTTTATTTTTGTTTTGGATAGCTTTTTTTATCTCATCATTCCACCATGGACGTGAGGTCTTGGGGAGCTGTTCTTAGACTTACCTATTGTAATTAAGGCTGTTTCTGTTATCATGTCAGTAAATTCTTTTACGTCTACATCTATGTTTTCTGGAGATGGGGTGGGAAGGTTATCGGTTTTTTTTTCTATTAGAGATGGGAAAAGATCCCAATTGGCTTTCCTGATAGACCATCTAGATGGATAAACCGAGTGTGTGTCATCAAGAGGGTGGTTGATGGATATTTATATGGGGATGTGATCACTGCTGCTGATGGTATATGGTAAAGTACACCACTATAATCTATGCGAAAAGAAGTGTTTGTGATGGAGAGGTCAATTATGGAGGAGAGTTCGTTGACAGGGTTGATTTTTGTGGGATATCCTATGTTAAGAAGCATTAGATTATCTTTAGTAAGTAATTCATCGATGATTTTTCCTCTGTGATCCGATTTGTAAGATCCCCAGGTCTCACTGTGACTATTAAAATCGCCTACTAGGATGAATGAATTGGGCAGCTGTTATATGATGCGTTCGATGTCATCTAGTGATAAATCCCTGTTATTTGGGATATATATGTTACATATAGTTAGTTTTGTGCGAGGCAGATGGACTGAAACAGCTATTGTTTCGAAATCTGTGACTAAAGGGAGTTCAACACTAGTGAAATCTTGGTTAATCATTATTGCAACGCCACCGCTGGCTCTAGCGCATGATAGGCGATTGATTTTATAGATATCATAGTGCGTAAATGTGGGATTGCTTTTTCATTAAAATTGATTTCTTGAATGCATACTATAGTAGGGTTCAGTTCTTTGGTTAGTATCTGAAGCTCCTTAAGTCTACTGAAGAACTCATTAATGTTCTATTAAAGTATTTTTGTTTTTATTTGAATTGTATAAGGAGGTTTGAAAGAGCTTGGTGTGAAATGTGAGGGATCTGAGAGCGTCATTTGTGGAGTTTATTTTTAAAACGAGTACTTCAAGAATCTTGAGGTGGAGATGTTTAGAACAATAGATTACCGAGCTTGGTGAGGTGTGTTTTAAGGAAAGTTTTAGTGATTTTGGGACGGATTTCGTCGATGAGTTTCATTAGTGATGGGATGTCCGAGTCAATCTCTTTACAAAGATTATGGATATTAATGTTTTTGTTTGTATAGTTTTCCAAGATATATTTGAACTGTAGTATGGATGTGGAGGAACTATTAGAGTTGTTGGAAAAAATTCCTCGGCTGGTCTGAGCCCTTCTAGTATTATGTCTTCAAGACTAGACGACGAGTTTGACCTGACGTTGATCTTAGCTTTTTTTTTTTCGTGTCTTTTTTGTGAGGTCGTTGGTAAGAGTGGGGTTGTTGGGTCAAGAATGCTTGAGGTGGTGTTATTTGTTTCGAGAAACGAAGAGTGTAAAAGACAGGTGTCTTTTAATTGGTTTTTGCTCTGCTGTGGTAGGACTTTGATGTTGACCTGTGGTATGGGATGGGAGGGTTTGAGTGAGGCCGTAGGAAAGAAGATGGCATTCATGATGTACGGGGAGATTTTAGATTGAGTGTTGGAGTGTTCGAGAAGATGAAAAGATTTGAGGAATAGGTTCACTAGCACTGCTCTTTAGTGTTAGTGCGGAGGGGGCCTTGGATGGATTTTGAGGCTCTAAATTTATGGTAGCGGGCCTTGGGTCTTCAGGTATGTCACACTGAGTTCCAGTGTTTCCCAGATTCTTTGTTGTAGGTGTGTCTGAGGGTGTTCTGAGATGTCTATGAGTGTGGAGGGTTGTGGGAGAGGTTCCACCACCTGGTCCGAGTTCGTGTGTAGAATAAAGGAAAGGACGTCGACGTCATTTTTCTTGCATGTATTGGAAGTGTGGCCGGTTGCTTTGCATAAAAAGTGTGATTCTGTCATCAGTGAAAAATACTCTGAAGTCAGTTTGATTGTAATCTAGGGAAAGTGATCCGGAGAGCTTTGAGACATCTTCAGGTTTAATGTGAAACTGTCGGCAAAAGCTCAATATGTGGTCATAACCCTCGATGTTGATCCCTGCTTTGAGGTACACAATTTGGGACATAGGAGTAATATTGATGTTTTTGAGTGCGTCGATTATAATCTGGTTGGGAATGGAGAGACAGACATTTGATATGACTATCTTTTTGGAAGGATTAACAAGTCTACGCATTTGTATTAACTGGTCGTTAATTGTGATAGTTTGAGTAGATTCTAAAAGTGAGTCAAGTATTTTCTTGCTTGAAAGGAAAATGCCAGAACGATTAGAAATGCGGGAAACGAAGACAATATTTTTAGGAAATATTATTTTTCCTATGGTGAGAACATATTCTCTTTGAGGTATACCGTCTATTGAGTTGAATACGAGTGCCTGTTCACGGCTAGGAGAGTTTTCAGTAGCTGTCGTGTAGGCGTAATTACGAGTAGTGTTTTTTGTGGTGTTATTAGTATGAATTTCTGGGCTGATGACTATACTCTCGATAGTCGCCAAAGGTGATGGTGCTGATGATGACGGAGTAGTTGTGTGGGAGGTGGCGGTAACGGATGTGGTTATAAACGAATAATTTGTATGACGAGAAAAAGTAGATTGCGTGGTAGATATGTTTGTAGGTTTGGTAGTTTGAATTGGACATGTTTTATTTAAAGGTTTAGACGATATCGGTTTTATAACTGGCGATAAAGACGGTCGGCCCGTCTTATTAACGTTGCTCATTATGAGATAAGATAGATAATTACATAATACTATTATATTACCCGTATAATGTGTGTGTCCAGTGGTGTGCTATCGGGAGCTATAAAATGCGCACTCGCGAAAAATGAACACGTGCTACACGGTCGGCTGTCAGACACGTACTGTCAATGCTTTATTGTTTTTATTTAATAAACAAGAATTTTTGAGTAATATAAATGTTGAAAAAATTATTGATGATTTTAAAAATGTTTCAACAAAAAGAAGATTTGTCCTTTGAAATATGTCTTATATTCTTATAATATTATAAAATATAGTATGCATTGTTTTTATGTTATTATGTTATGTACTATTTAAACAATTTGGTTACTGTATACAATATACTGTATATTTATATATATACACGTCATATATTTTTTTTATCTAATTCACTACGTATACCGCAATTTTTTTTAAAAAATTGTTAAAGGTTTTTGTTCACTTTAAAATTTAAAACAATTGCAACCCCCCCCCCGCCTCTAAAATTACTGTATTGGGTGTAAAGTGCTTTTTTTTGGTTCAATAACATATAGCCCTAGTCATAGCTAGGCTGCCACTGTGAATAAAATCTAGTCACGCCTATGATGTATATCTATATCTATAAATCAACGGCTCTCAAATTTTTTTTTCGCGGATCACTTGAATATATTATCATTCAGTAACGTACCATTGATAATACAACCATACAATCTTTACATAATAAAATACATTTATTTTAAACATAAAGGCAGTAAAATACTTGTAGCGTGAACCACGTATGTGTCGTCACCTAGTGGTGTCCAATTATGCAACTGACACCGACGAACCCGCTCTCTTTGATATGCGCGGCGCGTCGTACCTTTCGCGTCATTTAATACCCAATATAGAGCGCTTTTTTTTCACTGACGATTTTCTTTCCGAACTTCTTTTTACATTTTCTAATCTTTCAAATTAATTTCGTGATCTCCACTGCTAAAAAATCATCAATATATATCTGTAAGCACTTCTTGAAAGTACTCCGCGTCACAATACATCTTCAATTTAAAAGAAAAACTAAGAAAAACCAAAAACATCGCCAATCCACACTCTGCTATACAAATCCAGATCTGACACGCTTAAATACCCGGCCGAATAAACTCATAATCACCTCTCTCGCAGTTGTTCTGTCGAACTTCTATGCGTACTATGCATATGGAATATAATTCGTTGTATTTCACTGTATGTTACATAGTTTCCCGTAGTTAAGTAAACTGACGACTTGCCAGTTGAACTTCATCAACTGTGACGTCGTCAACTTCCCTAGCAATAAGAACATTAGCCGCCATCCACATTGCCGCTGCCAGTTGTGTTTTATTTTTTTTATATTACAAACTCAATCCAAGACATCCCACCACTGGTTCAGCCGCCCGCCACTTTTGCCGCGAACAAGCCAAGCAGCTTCTACGGTTTGGGAGGAACTGTTCTCCATCAATCATTCAACATTTAAAACTAAAATAATCAGTAATATATCTTCATATAAATGCTATATATTTTTGTGTCATATTTGTAATTTTATAAATAAATATTATTATCATCTATTTATATAAAAACACTGTCTAATATACTTGGAAATATATATATATACGTATACCTTGACAATCCGACACATAGAGGAGAGTCAAACGTTACATACTACAATAATATTTCTATTTATTTATTAATAAAAATGTATTAGTGTTTTTAATTAATATTAGAGATAATTATCAAATTTTTAATTTCCGTTCTACCACGGCCTTCCGCGTACCATCTTATAGTCTTTCGCGTACCACAGTTTGAAAATCACTGCTATAAATTATACCATTTTTATACCGACGCAATTTATATAAAGCCTCGAGACCAGAGTTGGGACTTATCTAGATAGATTTTTTGTCATCTTTTATCTTATCTAGATAAATAACGCTAAGTTATCTAATTATTTATCTAAGATAAAATTTTTACTTATCTAGATAATTTTATTTAGATGATTGTCTGTATTCTTGCCAAAATTAGAGTAATTTTTATTCATGTACGGAGACGAATCCAACAAATCAGAGATCATCAAAATCGGTCCAGCCGTTCTTGAATTATAACTTCTGTAAATAACCTGACTTTCTTTCATACATATGGATTTTGTATTCATAATCATAATTCGTGTACTATTAATAAGTAATTATTGTTTCTTAGTATGACATTTTGTTTGAATTTTCATGTCGGGTAAATATTTTTGGTATTTTTAAACTTAATTTCTAAAATTTTAATATAAACATGTCACTCATACGTTGAATAATCATTACTTCCCTCTGGGAACCCGTAAAGTCGTAACTACTTATAGAATGATGAAAATCATCAAATTAATATTATATGGAAAACAATATTATTAACTTAAAATATTTTTTTATGTATTCTGTATTTTTCTTGAAACCATAGGCGGTCCTAGGATTTTATTTCAGGTGCAGCACTTCTAATTTACACATATAGACATACACATTCCTATACCACACACACACAAATAGAATATATATATATATATATATATATATATATATATATATATATATATACAAATTTCATTCAATTTTCCTACTTGGAATTTTATTTTATATTATTTATTTTCAAGTTAATTAAAAAAAAAAAATTGCTATAATTATAAGTTATAACACCATTCTACGTATTGTGCCATTTAGTATTTTAAATTCGTCGATGACCTCGTCAATATCCACATTGTTTGTTTTATGCTGTTCAAAAAATAATAACATCAGTGAATCCAATCTCTTTTGGGTCATTGTTGTTAGAAGTTTATTTTTAACAATAGTCATTTTCAAGAATTTGCGTTCACAACTGCAACTTGTAACAGGTATAGTTACAAATAATTGTATAGCTTTAGAAAAGTTTGAAAAAATTTTAATTTTATTAGAATCTTGCAACCAATCTTACCATTCATGAATTGTTTGAAGTGAAGTACCATTTGGAATATCTGGCATATTTTGTAATAATTTTATTTCTGTGCACAAATCATCTTCACATATATCAAATTGTTCTTTTAAACATTTATATGATAAATTTTCACCAGTTTTTAATTTCACCATATTTCCAATTGAATTAATAATTTGTAATGATTCTTGGTTAAATCTAGAATTAATACCATTTATTAGTTTATCTAATGTTGTGTAAAATACTGTCACTTTAATTTCATCTTTATTTATGAACATTTTTGCATTAAAAAAAAATTAGTGCATATTTTTGAAGCATATTTCTACTTTTTTAAGCGTATAAGTGCATGAATATTTAGTACTCTTTAAGTAAATTAAGTTCCGAGCCCTAATAATAATATAATACATACTGTCTATTATATAATTTAATATTCATCAGTTAATATTTATTGGACTTTATGAAAATATTTCATATCTAATAAAAAATTGCGAAAATATGTAACCAAAATTTGATACCATCACCATAAGATATATAATGGTATCACACATTTTCAAAGCACACTGACTGGTAAAATACACGTCACGGTGTAGTGTGAACTCAGCTATACAGTAAGTAATAAATTAATAACAGTTTGTTTACAAATAATCGAGAACCCACCTGAAGTTAGTCACGTCAATCCGGTAAAATGAATATTCTCTGATAAGGCAATACAATGTAAGTCACTTGTACGAAAAACAATACGTAAACAAGGGTACTATAGTATATTTATAGTAGTATATTTTAATGTTTAATCCGTAAGTAAAATCGTTGATATAATATAAAATTAATACAAAAATCCTAACTGATAACAAACAACGTATTCTATGCACTCAAGGACAGGCCCGTGGACAGGATTTCATAATGGGGGGTGTTTTGAAAAAATAATGTATAACGTAGACACATCAATAATTAGCAAATAGTATTATAAAATATTTATATTTATTATTAATTTTGTGTTAATTAAAGTGTGTTTAACAATACTATAAAATACAAATAATTGTTTTAATAAATTTACTCGAAGAGGAACAGAAAAGAATTCATTCAATGCTTGGTTTATGTCCACGTTTATATCTCGATGTATATTCAATGATGCCAGTCCATTTAAGCGATCTTCACCCATTGTTGATCGAAGGTAAGTTTTCAGCCGACGTAATGTTGAAAATGACCTTTCATTAGTCGTTGTAGTTACAGGCAAAACTGACATTACACGTAAAATTTTATAAACATTTGGAAATGCATCTGCATTACAAATATCGAGGGCATCAAGGGCGTTTCGAATATTTTTACCAACTATTCGTCGTTGCCAAATTTCTACCTCACTTATCCAAATTTCTGGAGAATCGTCGTGTAAAATTGAACTGTAGGTTTCAAACAACGTTTTACAAGCAACTTTGTCTAAAGATTTAGTTTCAATAGGAAAAAGGCATGAGAAGTTGGCCAAAATATTCCGATGTTTAAGGAAGCGATCCTCAAGATGAGTGATAAATAAATCATGATAGGGTATGTAAATAGTAATTTTATAATAATCTGCTACGGAGTCTGTTGTAATGTTAGAACGGTTAGTTTGACGTGATGCAAGTCTTGGTTTAGTCACAGGTATATTGTACTTCTTACAAATATCTTCTACAGTCACAAAAATTTTGTCGAAGTTATCTGTAGAATATTGTCTTCTTTGTTCAAGTTGGTGTTTTGCTGCATCTGCTAACTTAACAGTCTCAACCAAATCTTGATTTTCTGTTTGTAAAACTCTACTTAATGATAAAGCCAATGCATGTACTGAATGCAAAATGTGAATTGATACTTGAAACTGTAAGGTTTTTATAGCTGAAAGGAGTTGAAAAGATCCGGATGTTGTTTTTGAATCTGTCCAAGTACTTGAAATGTTTTCCAAGGCATCAATAATAGCTGGTTGTAAATCTATATAGGTTCCAACTGATTCATGCTGTTGCACCCACCTTGTTGCGCAGTATTTTTTAAGTTTTTTTTTTCTTTTCTTGTAACAAAATGTCATTATTTTGTATTGCATCATGAAGTGCTATTTGTCGTTTTGGTGTATTGAAGAAGTTGTAAATAGATTGGACTGTACCGAGACAGTTTCTAATTTGTGGGATACTACATGCGGCACTAACTGCCAAATTGAAACTATGGGCAGCACAGTGTGAGTAGAGTGCTAAATGGTACTTTTCTCTGATATACGATTGAACTACGTGAAATTCACCACTCATAGTACTAGCCCCGTCATACCCTTGTCCAAATAAATAAGCACAGTCAATTCCAGATTGTTCAAGGAAATCCAAAATAACATTTGATAAACCTTTCCCCGTTAAATCTGCTACAGGTACAAAGCTTAAAAAGTCTTCACATATTTTTAATTTACTGTCATCATAATTTAAATACCTTACACATATTGAGACTTGTTCTATGCCGGCAATATCGGCAGTTTCATCTGCTGTTATTGAAAATGCTTTAGATTTATTGACTCGTTCAATAATTTGTTTTTGAATTAAATTATGAAAGATGACAATAAATTTGTTTTGTATACGGTTACTGATATACATGGCATTTTTTGAGGAATTTTGCAAAAAAGTATTAAGCTGATCGTCAGTTTTTGTTCGATATCTTAAAAGAGTCCGAAAATTACCATCGTAAGTTAAAGGTTCTTCGGAGGTTATTCTCCCTGAATCATTTGAACCACGAAGCGCCAAACCCTGCCGGCCACATAATATTAATGTTTCGATTATAGGAATCAAACATTTTTTACTTTCATTAATGAAATCTAATTGTTGTTCCGAGATTTGTAAATCAACAGGTAAAATGTTTTGGTTATCAATTTCTGCTCTCATATTTTATTTTAATAATGAAGTTTTATGATACTCTAGTGAGTTATGGTAACTAAAGCTTTTTTCCAGTTTGTAAACGGTTTTTTAACTAACATTCCCAACGTTTGATGTCCAATTCTTCCACCTCCGACAGAAAACAGCACACAATACTTACAAAATACGCCATTCATAATTGCTGAATAAGCCAACCATTTATATTTGAGCAACCAACTTCTTTGAAATTTGAAATTTCTTTTTTCGGAAACAGGAAATTTATAGTTTTCTGGAGGTGTCCAAATCAAATTTTAAAGTCCCGGAAACAAGTCAATAGTTTCAGTTGCAGGTTTATTCACATATAATCCTATGTCATGTTGGTGCACAATCTCTGGAAGTGACACTGATACATTTGTTTCAGGAGATGCATTTTCCGCTGGTTCAATTGGTTGTGACTGGTTATTAAAACTATTTACCTGTAAATAAAATGTGAAAACTAATAAGATTAATTGAATAATTCATAATTGTGTTTATAGATTTAAATATTGCATTTAATAAAATGTGGTATACAAAATATTTCAACAACAATTAACAATAGATTTCAAATCACAAACGGGATGACTATATTATGTTCTATAGCACGCGCGAAAAATAAACATATTTCTATACTGACTATAATATAATAATAGTCCAATTTAATTTTTAAAAATGATTTGGATTATTAGTATCGAATTAATAGTAATTATAATTAATTTTAATGTACTTACTGTCTCATCATTTTCTAGACGTGGTTTTTTGAAAAAATGTCGAATGTCCATTTTGATCATCAAAATTTAATGTTATTTCTAATGGCGTGTTTGTTTAACGAACGTGAACGTCTCACTGTGAGCTTACAATCGTTGTGTATGAACACTATGAACTATGATTATAAACAACTTTTAAAATACCTGAAATCCGTTATCGTATAATCTCGTGTTCTACTAATTGCAGTCGAATAAAATATTATTGTGCGACGTGTATGCTCTATACTTATGTTCAAACATTTTATTGTCATTATATTTTATCGATAACGGCAACGATGACGAAAGTCGATAAACAGTAAACGTGAAGACAACTCTACATTATATTATTATAGGTAGTATTATTGTACTATTATATTATTATAGTATTATGTTTTGCATTATTATTTATTACAAATATGATTAGAAAATATTACAAAAAATCATTTTATCATATTATCAAAAATGAAAAAGACGATTTTTTCGGCCATGGGGGGGTTTGAACCCCCGAAACCCCCTTGCGCACGGGCCTGCTCAAGGACTATATGCCAATTCCAAGTGACAGTAGTACCATGGGTAACATTTGACGCTGTTTTAAGGATAATCGGTTTAAAATATTTTCATTACAATCATTACATACGTTTGAAAAATATCATGAGCATTACCTTACTTTACTCCACTGTGTGTTGTGTAATGATATACAATAAAAAAAATGTGGCGGCTGAAATGTCAGATGCAGCACAGGCTGCACCCGTAGGACCGCCTATGCTTTCATTATTATTATTATCATTATTATATTTACAATTGCAAAATACAGTCCACTCTTTTTTTTGGTATAAATAAAGCCTATCAGTGTTTTATATTTATGATCACATAACTTTGTTAATCCCCTTTCCGGCATCATTAATACACGACTCCACTCCACCCGCTGAGTGATCAGAAATGGGAAGTGGTCCGAACAATAATTAATACCTAAAAGGCTAAAAGTAATTAATTAATAATATTTATGTGTGTGCGTTTGTAATAGAGTATTATTAGTATAACTGATTGTTTAATAATCACAATATATTTTATTAAATAGATACTTAAGTATTTATTTTTTTTATCGATATAGAACCCTCGGCAGCATGGGCCATTGGGTTTACAAATTATTTAGTTTATTATTTTACATTACATTATGTGTTTATTCTGAGTATAAATGTTACATTTTTTTTGAAGTTGATTGCGGGTGATTGTTGAGTATTTCGGCTAGTGATTCATGTTATATTTACGGCATTCGGTGAGAATGTGGATGATGGTGGCTGCAATACCGCAGGCTGAGAATATCGGAGGTTCTTCCTTGGCCATAAGAAAACTGTGAGAGATTTGTGTGTGTTCGATTCTGAGTCTTGTTATAATAACTTCAAATTTTTTGGGTGTTCCGATTGGTAATGTTCAATTTTCGGTATTGTGATTTATATAATAATTATATATTTATAGTATATACCCATTATATACAAAATAACTTAAAATTATATAAGAAATGAAAATATAATAAGTTGTAATAGTTGAATAATATTTTAACATATACATTTATTCATATAGATATACTTTATTAATTTATTAATTTATAACATAAAACCTTTTATTAGAAAATATTTTCCGATATATGTATACAGAGAGTTCCTTTAGAGTATAGAGTGATTCGAAAAATATAAAATATTTAATTTTCAATAATTCACGATAAATTATTTTTACATAAAAACTAAATAAACTGAAATGGTGATATATAAAAAATTAAAAACAAAATAAATTAACTTAACTTATTTCTTTAAATGAAAAATGAATTCGTTAATTTCACGTTAATTAAAAAATAAATTTAATAAATTAATAGTTAACAAAAATACAAAAGTAACTAGTTAAGTTGAAAAATTAAAATTAAATTAAATTTTTAACTTTAACTTTTTAACTCGTTAATTCCCAGCCTTGTGTATGATACAGTAATTCACAATCACATTTTTCGTTCTATTTCTTGTACATCGGAATTAATTCTTCAATGTTTAAATGACAAAAAATTTGCGTGTGCAAAAACAAAAACCTGTAAAATATTTGTCAACGTTATTTGCCCGTACATAATTAATAATACTTTAAAAGAACTATCTTCTGCGAATTATGTATCTGTTTTAGTTGACGGTTCCAACCACAAAGCAATTAAACTAGTACCTGTTGTTGTTCATTATTTTTTGCCTCATGTTGATGTAAAAAACAAAGTACTAGAGTTCTCAAATTTGCCCAGTGAAATGTCTGATTTAATTACTTCTAAAATTATTGACGTTCTTACTAAAAATTGTTGCACTATCGGCTGATAATACAAACACTAATTTTGGTGGATTAAATAGAAAAGGAAAAAATAACTTGCACACAAAACTTCAGACAGAATTAAAAAAAGATATACTTGGATTTAGGTTGCAACGCTCATATCTTACATAACGCGTCAGATAATTTACGTATTGACGCAGAAGCTATTACAGTTACACTTTTTGGATATTTCCACATTTATACGGTATGGGTAGAAAAATTAAAAGAATTTTGCGATTTTGCTAATGTCCAATACCGTGATATTTTATCAAATGCCAAAACTAGATGGCTATCGCTGTCTCCTGCAATTGACAGAATTATTTTAATGTTTGATTGCTAAAGTCGTATTTTCTTTCACAGATTCGAGTCCTAAGAAATTGGTTGACTTTTTTTCAAAACGTCACTGCTCTATTTTATATGAAATTAATACAAAGTATGCTTAAACTGTTTAATAACTATATTCAAAAAATTGGAGGGGAAAAAATGTCGGCATTTAAATTAATTGATATATTAAACAGTTTACTAAATAACTTAAAAAATATAAAGAATGAACATTTTATTAATACTGAAATGGAGATAATGATTGATTTTATTGAAGAAGAGAGTTATTTAATTAAAAAAGAATTTGATATAAATTGTCAAAAGTTCTACGATTTATGTATATCGTATATTCAAAAATGAACATTACCTTACTAGGCACTAATGGTTGAATTAAATTGGTTACACTTAACAAACAAAAATACAGTTATATCAAATAATGTTAAAAATACAATAAAGATGTTATCAAAATATGTTAAAGTTAATGAAGATGAATACTTTGATGAGTTTATGGCTTTTATAAACATTTTTCAAGACAAATTTGATGACTAAACAAAAAATGTTATTTTAGTAGAACAAAAATAGGTACAAATATTTAATATATTTAAAGAAAAAGGTGTAAATGTATCAAATCTTACAATGGCTGTAGAGTTTGCATTTTGTTTACCGGGGTCAAACGCGTCAATGGAGCGAGTATTTTCTTTAATGACAATTACATGGATTAACGTTCGAAATCAAATGGATACTAAAACAATAGAATGTTGTCTAGTAACAAAAACTCATGGCTTGAGTTACATTGAATTTTACAATGAAATAATAAAAATCCTACATAACTGAAGAAAGTACAGAGCACTGATAAATATAAGGTCTCCTTGGACGACTAAAGTAAAGAAAAATAATAAATCAGTAAAATCTACCTAGAGTAGTATATTTATCTTAACGGCTGGAAATTGTATTATTATTTTTATTTGAATTTTAAGTGTTAATAAAATAATGATGGCCTATCTAATTGATTAATTTGAATATTACTTATACTTAAAAGTTATATACAAATACCTATGTAATTATATACTTACTAGATAATTACCTATTTTTTATAAATTTTGGTGTCCCGGATTTCTAAAAATTAAATCTGGCCACCCTAATTTAGTAGAGCTTACATTCATATTTTAATATTCATTGTATTGTCTCTATAAATAATAAAATAAGCTATAATAAGATATAATCATAGTTGTCATTGACCATTTCGACAAAAATACCAAATAAACATTACTTTGCTATAAACGAAAATAAAATTATAATGATTTTTCATAAATGACAAAATTATCAAAATTCAATAGCTCAATAAATTCATAATATCACAAAATATTTTATTATAGTGCACACTACATAATATAAGAAAAAACAAAAAATAATTAAATAATAAAAAATAATGGTGGGGATATTTACCTTATTGTAATGTAAGAAAGAATTTTGATGAATTATGTTTAACTTTAGCTAGTATTCCAGTGGTTTTTGATGTTATAATTTTATATGAAGCGTGGCTTGGCAATAAAAATATGGACGCAAATACTTTCCAAATTCCGAATTACTCTCTATTTTTCTAATCTTAATAAAAACCAAAATGATGGTGTCATGGTATTTATTAATAACTCAATAGTCTTAATTTTCAGTATTGAAATCCTCGCTCAAACACATACTACTCTAGAAATCCTTATAAAAAAATATAATTCTACATTTTTAATTTATGTAATATATAGATCTCCAAATAGTAATGTAGAATCGTTTGTCGATTAACTAGAAAATCTAATTTTATTTAAAGCAAATTCAACTATAGCGGATTATAAAACCACTAGCTGAATTACCCGGCTTTGCCCGTGTGTAGTTTTTGCTTTCTCAAAATGAAATTTTTAAATCAACACACATTTTTGTTTTTTAAAGAAGAAAACTATTTATTTTACTTAATGTTATCAAGTGCTAAATAGTAATAGTAGCTGAATTATAAATAAAACAAAAAATAATAATAATAATATTTACAAATGACTCTTTACGTAGTTGCTCAATTCTAATATGGCTTAAGTCAAAAACCTCTTGGTATACCACATTCTGAGTTTTATTTTGTGGTGCATAAACGTATAAATGGTCAGATCCTCCAACTCTAGACAATGTCACATACAATTGCCCATGTGAAAAACAGTTATTTTCCAAATCTACACCACAGTAAGTTAAAGTCTGACCTTAAGCTTTGTTTATTGTTATTGCAAAACAGACTTTTATTCGAAATTAAACTCTTCTAAACTTAATTGGAAAATCGTTGGGGTATAATGGTATGATATTTTCGGTAAAAATATTTTTTCTCCCTTAGCACATCCGGTCGAAATTTCAGCTTCAATTATATTTTTTGTAAGAGAGGTTACAAGGAGCCTAGTCCCATTACATAATCTAGGAGAATTCAAATTTCTCAATAATATGATTGGAACTCCCACCTTCAATGATATTTTATAAGGAGGCATACCAGATGGTGTTTGTGAATTTAAAAACTTGGTAGGAAAATGTACGTTAGTCGCGTGGTATATTTATAACGTCATTGGTCGCGTGGGTTACTATTGTATCCCATCAATGTTAATCCTTAATAGTAAATTATGGCTTGATTAATACTATTTTTAAATATATTATAATTATATACAACACTTCCAGAATGTGTATATATAATATTTAGTCCAAAATTACCATACAATTGTTCATAGTAAAATATAAAGTTATAAAATGCATAATAATAAATATCTAATTTTAATAATACTTTTATTTAATCTTACTTGGACAAAATCATAATTACAATAAATAATTTGACTATTATCTATACACACTGTTATTATACAGTTTAAAAATAAAAAAAATTACCAATTAAAATAATTAAACAATTAAAAAAAAATGATTTCCGTTAACATATGAAATTAATAAAAAATTTATATCATAATTATTATTAAACAAATTTATTTATATATTTTAAAAATTATCATCCATTAAATCATTACTAGAATCCATGCAACTACTACATACCTTTGAGTAATGTTTTCCACATACCCAATGATTGCACTTATCACAGAAATTCCTTGTTCTTTTATCTTCCGATCTAGGACAAAAGGCACATCTTCCATTTGAGCCAGTTTTCTTTGGGAGATTCTGTTCAGTTTCTACAAATGGTATACCAGATATACGTGCAGCTTTGTGCCGTATTGTTATTGGAAGATTCTGCATGGCAGCCCTTTTAAATACTTGAGGTTTAATCAACGACATAGACAAGTTTCTCAAATATACGTGACGTTTTAGAGTATTTGAAGTCAATTGATCGCAATGGTACAAAATTTCTGAATTAATTCCTAAAAAATAAAAATAAAATAATAGATACATCAAAAAAATGTTAGACAATATTAAAAAATATGAAAGTAGTATTATAAACGTATAATGTATACCTGCAGTATTGATAAGATGAAAAAAAAATCGCAATGGCCATCTACGATTATTTCTTCCTGCATCATATGAACCACACATTTCATCTACCGTATCAACAGCGCCTTTGGTGCTGTTGTAAAAAGTGATAATTTCAGGTTTTCTAGCATCAGTTGTTGATTCGTCTATAGCTGCGTCATGATGCATTGATAATAAAAGTATAACTATTTTATTTGGCTTTGGTTTATAGGATAAAAGAGTAAGGTCTTTCTGAAAACCAAATATAGTACTATTTAGCTCACGATTTTTTGAAAATTGCTGTTGGAAAATAACTGGAATTTCTTTTTTATTTTTCCGCATCGTACCAACTAATGTAATTTTGTTTTTCAATAAATTTTCAGCCAGTGGAATACTGGTATACCAATTATCTGTTGTTAAGTTTCTTCCAGATCCTAAAATTGGATTCATCAATCGCATAACTACATCAGATGGAGAGTTTGAAATATTATAAGGGCCAACTGGTTGCTTTGCACAGTAAACTTCCATATTCCACGTATACATCATTTTAGCGTCAACTAGTGCAAATATTTTTACACCATATTTAGCTGGCTTATTAGGCAAATATACTCTTAATGGGCACCTTCCTCGAAATTTGACCAGTTGCTCATCTATTGTTACATATTCTGATGGTGAAAAACATTTTTTACAATTTTCAACAAATAATTCAAAAAGTTCTCTAATTGGAGTTAATTTATCTATTTCACGTCGTTGAATACGATCACCCATATCATCAAACCTCAGGCATCGAAGTAGAAATCGGAAACGCTTAAGGCTCATAGTTACATGAAAAATTTCAACGTCAAACCCGACTGATCCCAAAGGTCTTCGAGATTTTGCCGTCCTGAACGGTTTACGCCAGCTAATATCAATAATCCAATTAAACTTTCAATTTCACTTTCCGAGGTTGGATTAGCATCTTTTTCTCTTTCGAAATTTCCCGCGATAGATATTATATATTTATTAGTACATCTAGTAATTATACGAATAATCACGTTATCAAATAATAAATGAAAATATTCTGCAATGTTTGATTTATTTTTTGCAACTGGTTTACACCCGGGTAAATGAGTTATAACAGCGTTTCCCAAACTTTTTCTCTGCCGGACCCCTTAGAGAAAATAAAAAAGATCGCGGACCCCTAAATAAAAATTTAAATTAAAGCAATAATAAATAATAATACTAAATTGTTTGCTTTATTTTTAAAATTAAATACACATATGTTTATAATGAAAAATTGAATTAATAAAAAAAAATGGATAAATAGATATATTATTTTTATAATAAATAATTAATGCGTTTAATGTGATGGATGGTGTTGTTTCTTTAATACTAAATCTGGTATTTTAGGATCTATATTAGAAAGTTGAATACGTAAATCTGATTCTATATTTAATCGATTTCTATATTTATTTTTAGTGTACACATAAGCTGAAAATCCTTTTTCACAGAGATAAGTTGTTGAAAAAAGCATCAATGGCCTTAGTGCTGAGTCCGATATTTCTGGAAAGTCTTGTCTTATACTCAACCAAAAAGAAGACAAAGAAGATTCTTTGAAAACCCTTTTTAAATTAGAATTACTGGATATTTCGATTAATTGATTTTCTTGTGTTGTTGTTAAACCAGTTATATCAGGGACATCTGCATTAAAAGGGTCTACTACCCAATTTTTATTTTTGTCAGGAACTGGAAAATATTTTCGAAATGAATGTTTCAAAATTTGGAGGTGTTCAATAATTATATCTTTTGGTCCTGAGGAAAAACTTCATCGGATGATTCTATAAATGCATAAAGAGTTGGAAAGTGGTTAAAATTGTTTTGAAGGGCACGTTTTCTCCATAACTCAAGTTTTTTTAACATAGCTTCAATGTTATCCTCCGTGTGAAAAATATTGTCTTCTTTCCCTTGTAAACTAATATTTAATGAGTTCAGAGAATTAAAAATATCAGCCAAATAGGCCACTGTACAGAGCCATTCAAAATTATTGAAAAGATTTGCATATTTAGTAACTTCCATAGAGTTATTAAAAAAAAACATTCTAATTTCATTTTTTAACTCAAAAACACGTGACACAATTTTACCTCGCGATAACCAGCGTACTTCAGCGTGCAATAGCAACTGCTTGTGTATACTTCCCATATCTTCACAAATTAAATTAAAAATGCGAGAATTCAAAGAGCTTTTATTAAGTTAACTACTTGCACAATATCACGCAAAACTTCATTTAATTTTTCTGGCATATTTTTTGCAGCTAAAGCTTCTCTATGAATACAGCAATGATGCCAAATAATAGACGAATTAATTGTTTTTAAACGAGCTTGCAGGCCTGATCTAGTACCAGACATCGCACGAGCTCCATCTGTGCTAACCGCCACACAATTATTCCATTTTATATCATGACTTATTATAAAACTATTTAATATATTAAATATTGCCTCACCTGTAGTATTGAAAGGTAGAGATATGCAAAATAAAAAATCTTCAGTAATAGTATTATGATTTTCATAACGGACATATGCAAGTAAATTTGCGTCATTGCAAATATCTGTGCTTTCATCTAATTGTAAAGAATAAAATTTACTTGTTTTGATATTTGAAATAAGCTGTTCTTTAATGTTTTCTGACATTTCAACAATTCTGTTCTTAAATGTATTATTTGATAAAGAAACCGTACTTAATTCATTTGATGCTTTATCTCCTAACATAGCAGAAACCATAATTTTTGCAGCTGGTAGGATCAATTCTTCAACGATAGTATGTGGTTTGCCACTTTTTGCAACAAGTAAAGATACTTGATAAGATGCTGTTACAGCTCTTTCATTATTAGTTCCAATTGCAGTCTTTTTAATTAATTTTTTACTTTGTTCTAATTCAGCTGCTTTCGATTCAAAAAATTGTTTAGATTTTGTAAGATAATCTGTATGTCTGGTTTGTAAATGACGTCGAAGTTTTGCTGGTTTCATGGACTCGTTCGATAATATTTCATAGCATATGACGCATTGGGGTCTTTCTTCGTTGTTTACATTTATATTCGTGAAACCAAAAGTTATGTATTCTTCCGAAAACTTACGACGCTTATTTACATGCGTTGATCCTTTTTTAGAACTTGTAGAATCGCCTTCATTTTCTTCACTCATAGTGGTTTCATTATTTTGTAACCAGCGTTTCATTTTAAAAAATAAATTAAATTAAAAAATATAAATTTTTACGTACAATTATTTTATAATATAAATTAACTGAAAGTATGCTACACTACGTATACGATACGGCTGCAACGAACAAACTATCGGTTATTTGACCGACGCGATCAATCTGTCTCTGACGCGAACAATCTGCAGTCTTCTATACGTATAATCTAATCTTAATTGCTTTTCAACGATAACTATTTCAACAATGTATTTATTATCAACAGTATTTCCCATGTAATACGAATATTGCATCATTATTTTCGTTTTATGAATAGGTATACTTTGTAAATTTTTAATTTACGTTCGCGGACCCCCTCCGGTATACGTGCGGACCCCTAGGGGTCCGCGGACCACAGTTTGGGAAACGCTGAGTTATAATATTATGAGATCTGGTACGTACATTACTTGGCAACATATCTTTCAACCATTTAGTTTTCTTATCTTTTCCAAAATGAAACTTAGACCTTGATAAATCACTGTCAACTTCTAGGTCATCTTCGGTTTCTGAAATGTCGTGTTCACTGTCACTTGATTTTCTTTCAACATTATCCTCAACATAATCATCCACTTCATCGTTACTCATACAACCCACTTCATCAATATCTGATGATGAATCATTTACAGCATCTAATAAGCTTAAAATACGGTTTTGTTCACGTTCATCCATAGTGAAATAAAAAAGAAAAAAATTGCAAAAATAATAAAAATTATTACGGCAATAGTCGCGTGGGATACATATGTTATATAGACGAGTTCAACCGTATGCAACTGCGTCTAATCGATAACTAAATCGTAAATAGTGTTAATAAATATAAGTGGCAAGTATTATCGAAAGGTATATAAAATTAGACTTATTAAAAACCAATTGCGATAAAGATATGACATAAACAATAATAGTGGGATACAATGGTAACCCGCGCGACTAACTATCAATAGAAGAGTAATCCAATTCTAGTGCATGAAATCTACTAATTATTTGCTTGTTTATTGAGTCATCTCGGTTATTTGTGGTTGTCAAAATAATGCGGTTTTCCATATAATACTACATAAGTCATAGCAACCGTAATCGGTCAACTGCTATTGTTATTATTAGAATATAGATATACAAATTACATGTAAAAAATTATTTTTACCGATTTCAACCCTTTAAAATCAAAATTTTGAAAATCGGGTGACGTGGTAACACTTAGGAAGTTATTTGGAACAATTCTGTGAAAAAAAATTGGAAAAAAGTTAAATAGTGTCGTCACAAAATGGGTACATAAAAAAGGCCTGTTCTTTTATATATATATATAAAGATAATAGGAGATATAAATATAGATTTGTTAAAAGATACGACAATTCAAAACAAATACCTTATATTAATGGCTGAATATGGCTACTTGAAAATTATTAACAAAATTACTAGATATCTAATACTTCTCTTAATCATTTATTTATGAAATGTAAATCTATACAATTTTCCAAAACTATAATTAGCCCAATTACAATAACCGATTTTTACGTAATATTCCTCAGTATTGGAAATTTAATAACAAATAAAAACAATACTCCAAATTCATTTACGACATCAAAAATAAATACCTCAAAGCTCTCAAACTTAATTGCCACTCAATCTCGGGAAACTTTTCTAGATAAAAATGACGTAAACGAAGCCACAGATAACTTTATAAATATTATAAAAAATTTAACGAAAAAAGCCACCAATAATATAAAAATATCTTCAAAACTAAAAAAAATTAAACCTTGAGCGACTGCATCTCTCATTAAAGCTATTAGACATAGAGATCATTTATATTTACAAGTTAAGCTCGATTCACACTAGCGGTCTCGGTTCGGTCCGATCACGGTCAAGTCAACATCGATAGTACGTAATCCAACGGCATTGTACACACTATCGATCACGGTCAAGTCATGGTCAGGTCCGGTCGTCTCGACCGGTCGATGCACAATCCAGACCGCCGCGGTCACGAGCTTTTTGATCAAGACCGCCTAGTGTGAATAGTCAACCGCCGTGCCAATCTCGGTCGTATCCATTGTTTTGATTGTTTTTTGAACATTTTTGTATACTTTGTGGCAATGTTCAGATAGAACTTGACTGATTGTGACCGGTAATGAGAACTGTACATCATAATCCTTGACCGTGACCGGACCGAACCAAGACCGCTAGTGTGAATCGAGCTTTAAAAAACACTCTAATAATGATATTTTAAAACAATACTATAAAAAGTTTAGAAATAAAGTTACACAACTTATCAGAAATGCTAAAAATATACATTATAAAAACGAATTTGATAAATATAAAGATAATCCTAAAGAACGTTGAAAAATAATTAATGAATTTACCAGCAGAAATACAAAAAATAATAAAATTGAATATCTCATAACAGAAGAGGGTAAAAATGTATTCCAAAGAAAATAGTGAAATTATTTCCTAACATTTTAATAACTATTTTATAAATATTGCCTCTGATTTATTAAAAAAAAATCAAACAAAATCAAAAAGAAACTCAAGAAAACAACCAATTATCTATGCAAAATAATTATTCCCCTAATAAACAGCTTTTTCAAAATGTTCATAGTATTAATGAACAAGAAATAATAAATTGTGTAATAGAATTAAAAAACGGATCTTCACCCGGAATTGATTGTATAACGGTTGAAATTAATGCTGAGCATTATTATGACCAGGGCTCGGAAGTTCTAGCAAATGCATATTTTTCTTGGTTCATCCTAGAACATCCAAAGTAAAAAACAAATATGTTTCTCACTGTTCGGATATCATACACAAAATTTAATTTTGCTATTTTTTGCATATTTACGGGTTTTATTGCTATTTTGCTAATTTAGGGTTTATACTGCTATTTTCGAGTATATTTTCACATAATGTAGGAAATAATCAAATTTTGTTGATCATAATTGTATTTACTTGGTTATGTTTTTAAAAATATTTTAATTATTGGAAATAAATAACTTCATCAAATATTATTTTATGTTTTCATTGATAATTTGTTGTATCAATAGTTAGTGACGTCATTGTTATTCCCTTATTATATCATTGCATTAGATTATCAAACATTTTAATAATCTAGGATAATTATCAAGATAAATATATAAAGTAATTTAATAATAAGTACATTTTTACAAATATATTTAAGTAATTTAACATTTTTGTTAACATTCTATAATTCAATCAGTCCAGATTGTGTCTAACAATTTGTAAAATTACATTTTTTTCAAGTTAAATGCATATTTTTTTGATTTTTCGTGCTATTTATAGCGCATATTTTAGAGTTTTTAAGAGCATATTTAAGAGCTAAAAAGTAATATTTTTAGTGCTACAACTTCCGAGCCCTGATTATGACCAATCCGGATTACGGATTACAATTATTTAATTCGAATTTCGGATCCAATCTGGCTTCATTGTTTTTGAGATAATCAGCTATTTTTTCATTATTATCAACCTAAATAATACGAATTACGATCTCAAATCTATTGACAATCGACTCAATGTTATAAGACGCCTAAAAGCAAATACACTCGAGTTCTACATAAATCTTAGTATATTTAAAGAACTGTAGAAATTCAAGCTATTGAGCACATAATATTGTTATATATTATACATAATACATTTAATATTTATTACAATAGTCTATTAAGTATAAATTATTATTTAGCATTATGTGAAAGAAATATTAACCATTTGACTGTACTAAGTAGTATGTACTAACGTAATAACAAATTAACTTGTAAGTAGTAACTAGTAACTTATCGACTATCGAGTAGACTACAGACTACAACACACTACAGAATACAGAATACAGTGAGTACTGAAAGTAAATAACATTGCCTCATACCTGTTATTAAATATTAATAAAAGTATAATTGATATCGAATAACACGTAGAACGCAACACAATATTTATTTATAGCACTTCTGAACAATAACAATACACGCGATAATATAATAACCCATGAAGATAACAAGATAAAATACTTGAAATTTTCACCAAATGTTTATATTAGTGGTATTTTTTATATAGTAAATTTTCAATTTATTTTTAATATAATAATCCTGATTTATATTATAATCCGTATTAAACAGATTGTAACATTTGTTTCAATCCGTATCGGTAATCCGGATTTGGTGCTCAGCACTAGTTCGAATACTAAAAAAAAATATATCTTTTCTTGTTTTTCCTATAAAGCAGCGTTTCTCAACCAGGGGGTCGCGACCCCCAGAGAGGTCGCGAACACCTTGACTTGGGGTCGCGCAGGTCAAAAATAATAAAACGTTGATTTACAAAATGCACCTTTTTATTTAAATATTTTAGACTTTTTAAATAATTTTAAATAATTAGTGTGATCTTTGAATTTGTTTTACATTTAAAAGTTGCTTAATTTGTGGTTCAACATCTGAAACACATAAAAGTAAGTTATTTTCTAGTGATAACAAACGATTTCTGTACTTAGTTTTTATTGCCACCATGGATGAGAATCCTTTTACGCATAAATAAGAAGTAGCGAACGGAATCAAAATTTTCAATACCTCTGTTACCTAACTTCCATATTCATTTTTCCGGGCAATCCAAACCTTATTTAAATCTTGAAATCCAAATTGTAGCTGTAATTTCTTATCAGCTGATAATTCTATCAGTTGGTTGTGAGTCTCAACTGGTAATTTGGCAACTGCAACAATATTTTCATCAAATGGATTAAGAACCCATCTATTTGAGAAGTCATTGTCGTTAC